AATAAGTAAAATATTCGCAAATAATGCGATGATAAGTGTCTTCCATTTTGACGGTGTGATAATATTTTGTTTAAAATCGTATTTTGGCACAAGCCATAGAAATTGGCACAAATTGTAAGCGGTCTTCATGACTACTTTTAATAATAGCACAATAATGATGAAATTTCTTGCGGTTTTATTGAATCAATTAGTAATAATTGATATTTACTTAAACGTAATATGATAAAGTTATGTATATTTTCTTATCACATTAATTAATTACTAAGAATTACCTGAATGTAAAATGTCCAGACGACAAGCACAATTGGAGGATAAATATTAGTCACTTCGTTTTCGAAAAATAAATTTATCGACGACAACGAGTTTATTATTAGGTTTAAATTGTTAAAAAAATGATGCCACCCAAATAACACACTATAACCTTCAACTAAGTTACACAAGTAGTTATGCAACCGTAAAATATCATCCACCATCTTGAGATCTTCATAAAATCCATCCAAAAGTTTATTAAACAATTGAAAGCGTCTATTCATCGCTAATAAAACACAAAAAGCAAAAATATTCGTTGTAAAATTTAAGAAAAAAAGTATTTGGATAGATGCTTCAGATGCATAATAGAATAAACGATTTGTAATATAATGAACTGTGAAATCATAACACGAAAGACTTAATGCGAAACAAAGTAACCCACTGATTATTAAAACACTTGATTTATATTCAAAATTGCGGTATACACGCAGAATATCTGAAGATTCATCGAAATTATCAAACAATTCACGTAGGTTATGAAAGTTTCCTGTATTTGTGTCCCAAATTAACATTAATAAACTCAAACTAACACTGATGGCACCAGAAATATCAAGAACAGCTGTGATATTATTCGAATATCGAGTTCTACTCCAAAATATATACCCGCACAATATAGAAATTATTATTGTTATAAAAAACGTTTTGATTGTTTGTTTTGAGAATTTTTTATGTTGAAAATTATAGTCTGGAAACAAACCAAGATATTTACACACATTGTATGATGCAGACAGTTCACTTTTCATTTTGAAAAATTGAAAAAGACTGAATGCCATCATATTAATAGGAATTAAAAAAATGTTTTCAATTAAACTGAGTGGATGGATCATATTATGCTGGTCAAATGTAATACGGTTATGGTCCGAGTAATTGTCATTAATTGTAGGTACTTACAGCAATATAAAAAGTCCATATGACGCAATTGAAATATTCTTTTCGTGGAATACGATTATTGATAACTCCATTAACAACGCGCACGAAAAACACCAAACCGTTTAAACTCTCGAGGAAAATGTTCCATCCGAATAAAATGTTTATAAACTGCACTAAATCTGTGGCTGCTAAGTGGAGTTTTTGAAAAGCACTCACATCGAAATGTTTTTCTGTTTGTGATTGAATTAACGCTGAATTTATCGCGTGCAGATATTTTTCTATCACTTTTATGATTAGTATTTTTACATAGTCCAAGATATGCATTGAGAATGTGTTGAATATTTCAACTAAGAAACTTTCATAGTGACGCATGTGATTTCCCATATAAGTTGTGTAAAAATCATAACCTAATACGAATAAAAATAAAGATATTAAACTTGCTAGCATTAAATAAACGTGTTTTATTGATGTGACTTGTATTTTATAAACAGTTGCGAGTTCTGTGTGAATAAAATGGCATGTTTTGAAGAAATTATTGAGTGTTTCAAGGTGGAGAATGTTCAGACTCAAAGTGAATTCTAAGTTTATTAGTTGTGTGATTGTGGGTGTAGATGGCGCGAGTAGTTTGTCTTTTAACTTAGAATGAATTTTTAATGCGATGTAGATGTTGTATGCTGAAGCTGAGAGTGTAATGATTAATTTAATAACAATCAGGAATAACTTTGGTTTAAACTTTTGTTCGGTTTTATCGTAAAATGGAAATATTCCTAGGTATGATAAGAATTTTAAAGGCGCGGCGATGTTTTCGTAGAGCATTTTGACAAAGTATTATGTCTAGGAGTTAATTTTTATGAATGAGCTTGAACTAATTGTTTATCTATCGCATGTTTGCTTTCGATGACGATAATTTATGTTTTAGTATTATTACTCATTCATTACCTAATTGTTTATACATACATGATGATAAATTGTATTTTTTTATGGATAAATATTTAAAAAAGTATGACTGGTTGCTGAAAAACTCAACATAACCTAATATTTACCAGAATATAAACTGTTCACGGTGTAATCACAGCAAAACACCTAAATAATTGCATTTTTGTAAAATAAAAATTATTTTTGAGGTTAAATAGAGAAATGTGTATGACTGGTTGCAGAAAACTTAACATAACCTAACATAACCATATATTTACCAAAATATAAACTGTCCATGCAGTTATAACACCAACACCAAACCGATTCCACTGCTGCGAATCCAGAAACAAATTGATGCATGATAAGAAATTCATCATCACGTGAACATTGCTAAAAAACGCATGCCAACCGAATATTTTGTTGTATATTTCCACAATATTATACAAATAATTATGAATATTCATAATATTTTCAACGTGAAATGCATCCAGTGGTATATTATCCATCAGTTTATTAACCAGCACAAAACGTGTTTTAATCGCTAATAAAATCATCGCTTCAAATATAATCACTACGCAATTTAAGTAGACCACGGCAATTAATGGCATTATAAATATATAAAGGCGGAAAAACAATGGACCATGTGCCCACATCCATAAATCAAAGATCATTAAACCAACAATAACGAAATGTGTGCCAAATATGATGCGGTGCGGATGTCCTCTGGTGATTCGCGTGTATGTCGTTAAAATTTTGTCACCGGCGTCAAAGTTCGCAAACATGTCGCGGATATTATGTGAGTCATTCTCGTGTGTACTTAGAATGAGTATGACAAGTCCGATGTAGACAAGTACAGCACTAAAAACGTCGATGATTAATTCCAGCTCGGTTTGAAACTTGTATTTGCCCCAGATTGTTGAGATGCATAATACGGTTATTACTAAAATTGTAAGTATGCACTTGGAGGGTTTGGTTTTAGTAGGAAATGTTTTTGTTTTAAAGTTGTATTGTGGTACTAAGGAAAAAGACGAGATAACTTGTAAAACACGCGGAGTTCTTCCATGGTTTGAGAATATATGAGTGTGGAATTATGTTTTAGTCATGTAATAATTTTGATGATTGTTTAATCGAAGCAATAAACAAGAATTAATTTGTTTAAGAGTGCGTTTTGAGTAGGAATAAGCAATGCTTGAAAAAACGTGTGTTTTGGGTTGCATACATTACGCTGTGGAAATATTAATGACATATAAATGAAAATCCAGCGGTTTTTGAATGTTTGTAACGCTACTAGACAAAAACCACTCAAATAATTTTAATAAATTTTAGTATAGAGATAGATTAGACCCAGGAGAATAACATAGACTACTTTTCCTCCCAAAAATTTAACTTATATACTAAAAAAATAATTTTTGACTTACAGTCGAGTTTGCAGCCCAAGAAATTTTCACAACCACATGCATAAAGTCACCAATCTCGAAATCAATGAGTAAGTCACTTATCATTCTCAAAATATAAATCACATTTTGAAAATTAGTCAAAAAAACGCCCATCCAAATAACTTATTCACAATATCCACAATATCACTTAAATTATGATGAATCTTCGTCAACTTTTCCGGTGTGCACATTACGTTATCAAAACTCATATTGCAAATCATTTTATTAATGCTCATGTAACGATTTCTTATGTATATCAATAAATAAACAAAAATGCACGCGTCAGATGCATGTAGAATTTATTCAACAAATCCGATGTATAAAAGAACGCGTATTGACCATCACGATTCAACAAAAAATCACCGTGATAAAAATATAAAAAATCGTATAAATTATAAAGATTATTAATAAATGCTTCGAACGTCGAATTTTCGTGTTAAAATTAATATAGAGATCACGATCAATAATTACGAATTTATTTAAAAGCATTTGTAACTTTCGAATGTTTCTAAAGTTTAAACTGTAGATTAGACTCCAGTTTAGGAAAATAATACTTGTATATTGTATGAGATGAAGGGCTCTGCCTTGATACGTTGGGTGAAGAACATATAGAATTCCGTAGAGACCGATTAGAGAAAAGGTTACATGAATAGCAATTACAATTGTTACAAGTATAAGTTTTGCGTGAAATCGACGCGTTAGTGGATCTAAAATTGGCAGTAGACCCATATAATTGTAAAATGTAAGAATTACACTCAAGTCTAATAGAAATGAACTCATTTTGATGACTGAAGGGTTAAAAATATTTTACCAAAGGTGAAAGGTGTTATTTCCTAATGACTTGTTGATTAATTTCAAGTGAAAACATCAAAATAATCAATAATAAAAAGGTACACGTTATTTCACCGCGGGTTGTTTCGCCGTGGATCAATTCGCCGCGGAAAAAATTCAAATTTTTTTTACACAAACGTTTTAAGCAATTAATCAATCAAATTTCGTCCACAAATGTATTAAACACTAAAGATTGGACATTAAACTCATAATATTCAATATAATATTCTCATAAATTTATTTGTTTTAACGTCAAATTATCAAAAAACAAATTTTTTCCCGCGGTAAATTGGCCCATGGCGAAACATCATACACCCACAATAAAACTTAACATAAGTAAAACAATAGGACAATGTCTTACTTACTGTTGTATACAATGACCACATCAATATAACATAAAGATGTTTAATATTATGAGTTTCTTCATCCAAATAAGAATGTATCATTCGCAAAAAGAATACGACGATTTGAACATTGCTCAAAAAATACGTCCAACCAAACAAATCGCTCCACAACTGCACAGAATCCGCTATTAAATTCTGCAACCTGATGATACTTGTCAATTGCGTCAGATTGGCCCCTCGGTGATACATGCCCTTCAAGGTGCAATTAATCAATTGCAGCCGATGGCGCAGCGACAGCAAAATGAAGCATATAAAATATTTAACCATATACAGACTGTATTTCAAAACGTATTCAGCGAGGTAATATTTTATCATGAACACAATACCATTCCATCTGTAATTATACCCTGTGACAATCATATAGCCACCTGTCCAGATCACAAACTGAATTCGCATGTATTTTAATTGTCCGACTTTCAATCGTTGGATATTTCGGAGTTCCCTGTCGATTAGGTCGAATTTATTGAATAGTTTTTGCACTTTTCGCAGGCGTATATAGTTCATAGTGTAGAACAACTCCCAGTTGATGATGTTGACGATAAACAGTTGCACCGAACGCGAGATCATGCCTGTTGATGACTCTTGATTATTCGTGAATGTTGCGTACATTGTGTAAATTGATAAAACTGTGTTAATCAGGACGACGACTGTGAGATATTTTGTATTACGGTAGAAAATTTTGGATTTTTGATCGTAGAAAGGTAAAATACCAAAGTAACTTAACGTATTTATGAATAGTATTAAATTATCAGCGACGCTAGTCGTTTGGAGCATGATGAATACAAATAGAACAAATTTTCATTTAAGAATACCATATTTAGTGTGATTATCGAGTGAATATCTTTACAATTAGATAAATTAGTGTGCTTATTGATTGTTTATTCAATTAATGCATTTATTACACTCTCAGAATAAGTTAACCTTAAATTCCAACGCCATCTAGTGGTAGGATGAGGTAGTAAAAGATAAATCAATATTAGACTTTTGTATTGTGATATTTTTATATTTTTTGAGTGAATTTTTTTATAATTTGACTATTTTTTGATAGTTTATATCATAAATTTAAATATTACATTTTAAAAATAATTTAACCTTAAATTTTACGGCCATCTAGCGGTAGAATAAGAAAAAAAAGGTAAATCAATAATTACCTGTTTGTTTTATGATACTTTTAATATTTTCGGGTGAATATCTTTTTAATTAGATTAATTAGCGTGTTTATTGATTGTTTATTTAACTATTCTTTTTATTACACCCTAAAAACAAGTTAACCTTAATTTCTACCGCCATCTGGCGGCTGATGATGAAACTATAACATAAATCAATATTACATGTTTGTATTGCGTAACGAAGGAAGCAAAGTAAGTTCCGGGTTCGCCAGTCTGCGCGGGACCACGCGTGGATGCAATCAAAATAAATATTAACAATGTTCCTCATTTTTGTGTTAATCCTGGGTGGTAATCTACTCTGGCCTAGTGAGTCAATAATGTTTTCCCAGGTGAGTTGCGCCCCGGACGCAAAATTTGGTAAAAACAGCACGTCACAACAAGTGTTTGTTTAGGGTAAATACAGGGCGGCTGTTGTCGAATTCGACGCACTTCCGGAACCATTCCTATTTCCGCATGAAGTTATGTTGAATAATGCCGAGCAATATCTGAAACTAATTGAGCGAGCTTCCGAAAAAGTGAGTTTTGATGAGTTTTATGTGGATATTTAAAAGTTTTTTAAAAATATTTTTCCCAGAGAGTTGATATTATAGTATTTCCGGAAGATGGCCTAACCACACTGGATGTTGCGAAAAAAACTCCGCAAAAACTCGCGAATTATAGCATTGAAGTTCCGGATCCGGCGATTTATCCAAATCCACGCATTAATGAATCTTATAATAAGGTTCGTGTTGGTGTCGAAGTGGTTCAATGAACTGCTCTAGTAATTATTTATTTATCGACTTGCTATGATGTATAAATAATGTTTTAGGTCCTGCGAATGCTCTCGTTTGCCGCGCACGAACATCACATGTACATCGTCATTAATTTAATCGAGAAATTTAAAGATATCGGTTTTACATTTTATTACAACACCGATGTAGTTTTTGATCGGAATGGGGTCATTGTTGTTCGGTAATGATAAGATTAGAAAATTTATTTCTGGAAATAATAAATAGTTTTATTGTAGATATCGAAAAATTAATTTAGTAAATGATCCGAAATTGCATCCTGGGAAAGAGTTGGCGAAGTTTCGGACGGATTTCGGAGTGACTTTTGGCATTTTCACTTGTAATGACATTTTATATCGACGGCCCGCTGTTGATATCGTGCAAGATAAAAATCTTACTGATATTATATTACCGTCTGCGTGGTATTCAGAAACACCGTTTATACAAAGTAATTATTAGAGAATTAACTGAGATATTAGTGATTTTGGCAGGGAACCTTGAATGTGTCATTCTGGGAGATTACGTCCCCTTCAGATCTCCAAAACAAAAATCATGACGCACATGTCTATCTCTAGAGGAGATTGCGTAAAATTTACACGAAATATACGTTTATTCATATTAGGAAGTGACGTCACAAGTAAGGTTATGAAAAAAATTGTGAAACGTCATTAGTTATAACCTTACTTTACCTAAAATATATCCTAACGTGAAAGGTGAAAATTTCACCTAGAAACAAACATAAAAGGGTTCCCTGTTTAGAATTAACCCGAAAAACATTTATTTTATGTGTGTTTGTGCATGTTTCAAGGTCTTAGCATTCAAGCTGGATATGCAAGGGCCACAGGTGTGAATTTATTAGCAGCTGGATTGAACTATCCGCCTATGTATGGCGGCAGTGGTATTTACCTACACGATGGGCGCATTGCTGAACTTTACATTTCACCCTCAAAGTCCAGCAAATTAATTATTCAGGACGTGCCCAAATCTCGCGTCAAATTATCAGCTATAAAATGCAATAATAACTCACACGTATGTTTTGACATTCAAAAAATGTGGAAAAAAATTAATTTAAAAGAAATTTCAGCCCACTCCACGATTTCGACTCGGTGGTCATCTAAACGAAGGAATGCTCAATACTCCGCATGAAGATATGAGTTTACACACCCTTCACCCTTTGAATTTCCACGATTTGGAAACAAAAGTCAAACTTTGCAACTACAACGGTGAATATTGTTGCAGGTTTCGTGTAGTTTTGCAAGAGAGACCTGCGTTTCACGATCCGAAATATATGTTAGCTTTATTTTATGGTGTGCGAACCTTTGGCGACACAACGATCGGCGTTCGTTCTTGCGGGCTGATAGCGTGTCTAAACAAAGATAAATCGACATGCGGTATGCGTAACCACACATCACGCAGCGAAACAATTTTCAAGCAAATATCAATACGTGGGAATTTCGATCATGGCTACAATGACAATTTCGATATGCCTATCACCCTCACCTATGAGCAGCTGCCGCTAACCGAATACACGTATTGCGAGACTCTCACCGATGATAAGAAAGCGGTGCTCGCCGAAATGCGCAGCACGCAACCGTTGACAAATTTAATGTCTTTTGGAATTTTCGGCCGCATGTACGTCTATGACGGGAGAAATCCGGGAATTATTACGAATGGCGTACACTCGACGCTCTCAAACAACGTTTTAGTTGTTTGCACATTGATAATGATTCTACTCGTGCGAAAAAATGTTTAGATTCAATCGTTGAACGAAAAAAAAAAGTTACGCTTAGCAGTATTATTGAGAAAATAGCTTTTCATGGTCTAAAAATGCACCGAGTACATCGCAATAATACATCAGTATTATATTTTATCTAAAAATTGATAAAAAATCTATTTTCAACGTGTTTGAAAGTTTAATGATATTAATAATTAGCTAGCTGTGAAACTTGAGGTATATTTTCCTACAAAACTACTAGTTGTAGTTGTAGTTGATAAACAATTAGGTAATAATTCACATGTTCTATGAATAATATATTATAAGAATGTACTTATTTACACGCACACACGAATAATGTACGCATAGCACGTATTTTTCTACGTTAGATTGTTTCCTATTCGTTCGGAATTGCTGGATTGTGAATTGTAAATGCAATGTGCCTTCGCGACGGCCTTAAAGCACGAATATGCGAACCAAAAAATGAAAAATATGTACCTGCTCTATGTGTGCGACTTGCAAAGATGATATATGTATAGATTTATTTTTCAATCTATCTATTTACAGACTTACTCACTCACCGCACGAACAGGCAAACGCGCTTTTACTATTAAAATTGTTGACGCTGCTTGTTTGCGAATGTGAGGTCACAAGTTATAAATTTACTAAGTTATATTGAGTAATATGATTTCATGTTCAAATATAGTTTAATAAAGTACATGGAAAGTACATTTTTGAGTAATTTCTATTAAAAAAAAACGTGGAATTTGTGTTAAAATTTGTGTTTAAATTTTTGCATTTTCTTAAAAAAATTATTGAATGAAACCTAACCACAATAACAGAAACGCAAAATGAGACTGATTCATCATTATTTCCAACTTATTAGTTAACTTTTTCTGTATTTTTTCTTGCTTGCAATGTCCCTGAATCGAAAAACATAAATTTTCAATTTCTGAGTTATTTGATGATTGATTTCTACTCGTGAAATTCACCGAATAATCACTAAAGTTTACCTTGTTGCTATACCTTATCAGATATATTTAAGCAGCGATAAGAGAATGCTTATAATCTCATGGAGTGGCTGCCCATCCCATTAGTACATCCTACCGCGGTACCGAAACCACACACATTTCAACATCAACATCATGTTGAAACTAACACTGTGCCTCTGCCTTTGTGCATATCTTGCTCAGGAAACTCATGGGCAAGCAATCGTAAGTCAAACATTATCATTTTAAAGTTTATACATTTTAAAATAAACAAATTTGTAGCCAATAGGAAGCCCGTACCAAGTCAGACTTTTTGATTATTCTCCAGCTAAAGACCTGACGCCACAAGAAGTTATCCAGAATAATGTGCGATACATCGTGACCGAAATGGACAAACCTGCTAATCCTGTAAGAATGCTTATATAAATTTTACACACCCATATCTGCCGATAAGATAAACATATTAGATACTTATATATGCTTGCATAATCATGTTTCAGGAGGTATTGATTTTCCCTGAATACGGAATTACAGGCATTGATGCATTGACGCATTCAAATATTTCGGCATTCGCCATTAAAATTCCGGATGTTGATCCAGGTAAGGCACTATGCCAAGCATTCAGTGTTGATCCGACACTCAATAAACTTGCTTGCGGCATTGCCACCAAAACACCACTGAAAGTCTTGGTAGTAAATCTATTGGAGATCGTGGATAATGATATTTACAACACCAACTTGGTGTTTAATGAAATTGGTGCCATTCTTGCAAAATACCGCAAAATTAATTTGAATGACGCAGAAAAATCGATACTGAAAGCCGGTACCGAACCGGTGACTTTCCTTTCCTCGTTTGGTGTTACTTTTGGTTTGATTACCAGTGACGATATCCTGCATAAAACACCTTCACAGGTTATTTTAAGAGATAGAGCCGTTACGGATGTGATTATGACTTCCGCTTGGCAGTCCGAGGTGCCTTTCTATTCCGCCATTGGTCTTCAAGATGGCTACTCAAGGAAAAACGGAATTAATCTGCTTGTGTCGAGTATCAGTGATCCCGCAAATTACCGAGGTGGTTCTGGTACTTATTCTGTAGATCCACGAGGAAATACCGCTTATGTACCAAGGGTCCCTGGAAACCAGGTCGTCTCTGACAGACTCAGAGTCCTTGAGCGACAGTTACCGGAACGCGCTTGCAGTGAACAGGTATATTACTAGAAACTATTTCACAGGAAGTGCTTAAGCAACTGATTTCAGATTAATCCTAGATCTCTGGGTAATCTGACTGGAAGGGTGTCAGACATTAATGCTCACAAGACAAAACCCATGAGCAATACAGATCAATATGTCGCCAAATCAATTCTGGGCACCGACGCTAGTAAGACTTCCTTTAATGATGAATTCTGTAAAGGTAGGGTCTGTTGCAAGTTTGATGTCCAATTTGCAACCGAGATATACAACATTAAACCTGTGTACAAGTAAGTGCAATTTATTCCTAAGTAAATTATGAAACTTTATTTTTGAAAAATTTTTCTTAGGGCTGTGGTTTCTGACTCTACGTGCGGTATCATCGCCTGTGATAATGACGACAGCATCGCAACCTGTGGAAGTCGAGACAACGAGTTAAGCCGTGCTGTTTTCAATAAAATCACCATTGAAGCAAAGTTCGAAGGGAAATCAGCATATCAATACTTGCCGGTATCTACAAATTTGGACCTGAAGAATGTCAACTTCATGTTTTGTGATGGAAGCGCTTCGATGAAATTGGAAGTGGTTTCACAAACGGGACTGGTTTATTTAGGTTTTATCGGTGAAACAACCTCGGCGGGTCAATCTATTGCTAGTATTAGTTTGCTTGCAGTTGTGAGCATTGTTTTGGCGGTGTTCAAATTATCTAGTTAAGTATTGTATAAAATTTCATTAAAATTGTCAAAACATTAAGATAAATTTTTAAATACAAATAAACGTACTTAATTCATAAAATGATTTAAAAGTATCAAGCCAAGGTGGCGTTGGACCGCGCATATTTGAATTAAATTCTAAACGCACTTATCGCTGACGCACGTGAAAGCGCGCGAAATGGTGAAGCAGGTTTAGTTCTTATCTGTTTTTTTTACTTGTTTACGACGATGTGTCGTGGGAACTCGCACGCTGCATGAAACTTAAGTGTCTTGCATTCGCGCAGTTGCCAACGATGTGTCGTCGGTGTAACATGTCGGTCACTTTCTCTGTGCATTATATTCGCGAGTTGTTATGTTCCCATCGCGATTAATTCGGAAAATAGAGTTATATTCGATCACGAATCAACGCCATGTAATACTAACAAATGTGTTGTGTTACGGATGATTTAGAGTGTGTGCAATGTTAGAAATTGTGAAATTATTCCCTGTCGGCTCTTGTCGGTTGTTGGATGTTATCGATTACAAAGGTTATCCCGCGCGAACATGTTACCTTGTAAGTAGTACATATCATTCAATGTATTATCAATAAATGCATTTATTATGTTTTAATATATGTTTTCATCTGACGGTATTTGTTATGTAGTATCGTAGTGTCGTGCAAATTGTTTTACATAGTATTATTTCGTTACATTACTTGTCGCAGATGTACTCGTATCTGGTAAGTAAATAATTAAATTAATCTCATGCAGGCTCGCGCAGGTTAAAATCGAGTGTCCAGTTATTGTTATTTGGGATATTTTATCTCAGTATATTAAAATAATAAACGAGTACACATAATAACTTTTCGTACCCCGCGTTTTGCTATTTAAGTCAATATGGACTTATAGATTATTATTATAGACATTGTTTTTTTTATTCCGTTATAGAGAAAGAGTTTTTCTTTAAAATGATGAATTTTTCAACCTCTTGCAACCTCTTTCTTTCTGCTGTAAGTATTTTTTTAAGTAAACAGCACAGATTGTTTGTTTTTCTGCGCTGTGTGAATATAATATTACTTATGTTTTCTTTTTTTATTTACAGTATTTGCCGTGCTTTAGAGTCTGATGATTTCTGCATTGGTAAGTTTAATTCTGCTTCTCCCTGTATAGTAATTATTAGCCGAAAAATTCCGTAACGCGAGTTATATTGAAAGTTGTGTGTATACTCACTTTTACACGTTGCGCTAGGAATTGTAGTTTTATTGTTATAACACGCCACCGCGGTGTCAAAATTAGTTTGAATTAATATTCCCATATGCAGAATTTAATTTTGCATCTCCCTGTATTTAAATATTTTACTAGAAAATTCCGTAGCGTGAGTTATATTGATAGTTGTGTGTATACGCACTAGTACTCGTTGCGCTAGGAATTGTAGTTTTATTGTTATAACACGCGAACGCGGTGTCAAAATTAGTTTGAAATAATTTCACCAAATGCAGAATTTAATTCTGCATCTCCCTGTATTTAAATATGTTACTAGAAAATTCCGCAGCGCGAGTTATATTGATAGTTGTGTGTATACGCACTAGTACTCGTTGCGCTAGGAATTGTAGTTTTATTGTTATAACACGCGAACGCGGTGTCAAAATTAGTTTGAAATAATTTTCCCAGATGCAGAATTTAATTTTGCATCTCCCTGTATTTAAATATTTTACTAGAAAATTCCGTAGCGTGAGTTATATTGATAGTTGTGTGTATACGCACTTGTACTCGTTGCGCTAGGAATTGTAGTTTTATTGTTATAACACGCGAACGCGGTGTCAAAATTAGTTTGAAATAATTTTCCCAGATGCAGAATTTAATTTTGCATCTCCCTGTATTTAAATATTTTACTAGAAAATTCCGTAGCGTGAGTTATATTGATAGTTGTGTGTATACGCACTTGTACACGTTGCGCTAGGAATTGTAGTTTTATTGTTATAACACGCGAACGCGGTGTCAAAATTAGTTTGAAATAATTTTCCCAGATGCAGAATTTAATTTTGCATCTCCTGTATTTAAATATTTTACTAGAAAATTCCGTAGCGTGAGTTATATTGATAGTTGTGTGTATACGCACTTGTACTCGTTGCGCTAGGAATTGTAGTTTTATTGTTATAACACGCGAACGCGGTGTCAAAATTAGTTTGAAATAATTTTCCCAGATGCAGAATTTAATTTTGCATCTCCCTGTATTTAAATATTTTACTATTCCGTACTAGAAAATTCCGTAGCGTGAGTTATATTGATAGTTGTGTGTATACGCACTTGTACACGTTGCGCTAGGAATTGTAGTTTTATTGTTATAACACGCGAACGCGGTGTCAAAATTAGTTTGAAATAATTTTCCCAGATGCAGAATTTAATTTTGCATCTCCCTGTATTTAAATATTTTACTAGAAAATTCCGTAGCGTGAGTTATATTGATAGTTGTGTGTATACGCACTAGTACTCGTTGCGTAGTTTTTTTATTATAACACGCGAACGCGTTATTTGTTGCTTAGTCGATCGTGCGCTGCCGCGTGGTGAGCGCGCTTCTAGATGCAGTTAATGAATTATCGCGCGTGGAACCCTGAATTGCGTGGTTTTACAATGTACGCACCACGTGTTTTCCGTCGGCCGTCGGATATCTTATTTATTTATTATTATTTATTGTCTCTCTCTCCCCACATATCACACCTAAATATCCAAGAGGAAATAGTTAATAACACTTGTATTTTTGTATCACCCTGTATAAAACTTTTTTTAATGCTCAGTGAAAAATTGACATTCTTTATTGATTTGTTTTTTTTAATTGAAAAATTTTCTTTGGATAACACCCTGTATATAATTTTCCTCTGATGTCACGCAAAAACAGGGCAAAATTTGCTATTTTTTAGTGTTATCTTTTGTAATTTCGCAGCAGTTAGCATAGCGCGGCTATGCAGGTCATAAACATGTTTTAAAATGACGTCATATTTCTTTTGTAATTATTGAACATACAAGTTATGAACTTACATTGTATTTAGTTTGTTAATAAAGAAATGTTAAAGGCAATGGCTGTGTCTTATGACTTGTGCACCCCTTCCTTCTATCATTTCAGGTACAGGTCACAACTTGTAAAGTATTTCTCAGTGTTGTGGTCGGCTCTGAGAGCGGCGACACTTAGAAAAATCTCTACAAGTCCTTATATGAAGTTCTCCCACTCGGGGGATGATCCCCACTATAAAAATTGTTAAGGTATCCTGTATGATTTGTGTACTCCATCTTTCATTTCAGGTACAGGTCAGAACCAGTAAGAATATTTTTAAGTGTCACCTCACTTGAGGCGACTTAAAACTTAGAAATATTTTTACAAGACCTTATAAGGATTGTCCTTATAAGAAGTTCCCTCTCTCTGGGGGTGATCCCCCACCATAAAAATTGTTGATATGCCTGATAATTTCGGGGATGAAGCGCAGAGACATCGTAGCTGTAGGATGGGCCGGGAGCAATGAAGGCATCGAAGTGGGCCGTAGACTGTCTTATAACGACACGTGCCAAAAAATTTAAAAATTCTGTCACCCCTATATCTCTTTCTTCTGTCTCCTCCTCTTCTCTACTCTACTCTCTGTTCTCTTCCTTCTATCTTCTCCTATTCTCTACTACTCGCATTCTCCTACTTCTCTGTTCCCCCGTTCTCCATTTACTTTCTTACTTCTCATATTGCCTTCACTTATATTTCAATTTCTCTTATATTTCGTTGCAATTCATATATGCAACCCAAATTACACCTGATATTTTTGTATTTGAGAAAAATGCCTCCCACACCTGAGACTCGATCCGTGTCTGCTAGCATGCCAGCAGGTGCACGTCTCCACTCGACCACCGAGTGCTTTTATCATTGTTATTTGATTCTTCTATTTATGTCTCTACTTTTATCATGTTTTTAAAAACAACAACACAACACAATTATGTTGCAGTCGCTCCACGCGCATAATATTTATATGCAATATAAACTAAGACGTTAATACTGAAAACGACAAAGAGGATACCATAATGAAATATGCACATGAGATTATAATTTTACATAGTGTTTTATTGACAACAATAATAATAGAAACATTTCTTAAAAGTACAGTTTTAATATCTAATTAGCTACTCCAAAAATAAAATATTTCAGTACTTACATTTTGAAATAAATCTGGCCGTAACCCGGGAATTCCATGTAAAGAATATGGAAGTTGATTTTTATGGCGTTGTAATTGTATTTTCAATCCTCTTCCATGGAGCCATTTCCTTAGTCACCGCAACCTAAATAACATAATTAATATAATGATGAAAAGTTTAAATCTAGAAGTATTCTTCTAGATTCTTCGAATACTTCGGAATAATAATTCCGAACTTATTGTGACACCGCGCACAAACACGATTCCGCAAATTGTAAGTAGAATTGATGATACGCACATCTTTACTATTCCACGCGGATATCACAAATGGAAACCTTGTTCTCATATCAAACACGTACATTTAACGACGGACGCCATGCGCGCACCGCAAATGATCACTCAAATCACTCGTTGTGCGCTACACTGGGCTGTTACTTTTAAATGCCTCTCATGGTCAACCGATTCTAGTATTACGACAGAAATGAAATATTAAGAAACGCAAACAATTGTCACCATGTTTGATTAATGAACAAAACACGTGCGCACTACGAGACAGCGCTCAATTGACTAAGTCGGACTAGGTGTGCAAGTAGAATGGATAACCAATCCGCAGTTGGAGGGGCGATTACAAATATATTGCAAATTATCAAGTTATCAGTTGAAGTTTACAAAAAAATATTATTTGGATGAGAGGATTTTAATTAAAGTACAGTGATAAAATACCACTTTTATGGCTTACGCTTGTACCCAAATGTTTTATATACAATTTAAATATTTATGAAAGAATAGTTGTTCTACGACATCCCGTTCGCCCGCTAGTCTAACTAAAACAACCAAAAATTAGAGCGCTCAAAACACAAAATTAAAACTTTTCTTAATTTTCGTTTTGTTAAACATAAAAGTTTAGTATAAAAATGACATGAAGTAAAACGTGACAGCGCACCAAACCCAAAACAAAAATGAAGTAAAATTTGAAATCAAATCGATGAAAGCGCCATCTGAATGTGGCGGAGCAAACCAATATAGATAGCTGACACGAGCGCCATCTGGGAGTGACGGAACAAAATACAATAGATAGCTCGATAGCAGCGCCATCTGATTTTGGGACCATAAACTTGAAATAAATTACTAAGAAATCTGCAATTCGTCTGCTAATCTTTAAAATATCTAATTTAATTTACTTTTCATTGTATGAAGTATGGAAATTATTTACGAAAATGAGAAACCATTTCAATACTTACAATATCAAAATAGAACTGTTGTCCTAAGACATCTCCTGCAAAGGCCCGTTCAAATTCTAGAGTCCTAAAACAAACAGAAATCACTACCTCGAAACACAAAAATGCAATTTTTATGACTCCCTTGCATGGAAATCACAAAACTAACTCATAAGTATAATAAATAATTACAATACTTACAATTTCATAAAAAGATGACTCTCTTGTGAGGTACTATTCAATTTCTAGAGCCCTAAAACCAACAAAAATCAGTGCCTCAAAACACAAAAAGGCAAATTATTTGTCTACATCTTGTAAAATTACAAAACTAAGACACGACTTTAATATATAATAACAATACTTACAATTTGTTGTAAGTAGGATGCTCCTGTGAGCTTCCATTCAGCTTTTAAAGCCCTAAAATAAACTAAAATCAGTGCCTCAAAATGTTTATGATTTTGAATATTTTAGATAATCACGCACTATTATATTAACGTGCAGTGCAATTCTCGTATAGATTCTGCTCTTTGAATATAAAATGAAGGCCAAAATGGAAATGTTCAATAAAACTAAATAAACAACGAACGATGTGCACTCGTCCGCGATCAGAACCATACTAGTTTAAGAACGTGTGCGCTGCTCTTTACATAATGTGAAACAATTACCAAATGGCGTTAAGATGCAGTTTTTAAGGACGTTCAAATAATCCTGGAATATCATTATATAGATGCATTATGTATTCTATATATACTGCGATTTTTGTGTTAGTCTTTTAATTTTAATTTACATTAAATTAGATAAATTAATACCGGTTAAATACACATTCTGACTTTATCTAACCTAATATTTTCTAGGTATGTAATTCTACTTCATGAATCAAGTGTTGATTATAGCGATTTCTTAAATAATTACAAATATAAATGGTACGTAATCGTAAACTGCAATAAAACATAATTTAATATTAATTTTCTTAATAGTCTGGTGAAGACGTATTAAAAGATTTTCCCCAATTTCTACCTGAAATTGGGGATGATCTACGGAGTTATCTGATATGTCCAGACAAATTACCCATGCACCAGTTGGAAAACGTGCAAGAATTTTGGCCACGAACCTGCGATGTTACAAGATTAATGCATTTTGATATCACACAACTATCAACTACATTACAAGTACTTAACTCTTTTATAAGATTAATTATAATAACATCACTTTTTTCTTTATATATTTTAGGTACAAAGAGACTATGATACTGGTGAGATTATAGATTTTAAAGAGGTACCTATCCCAAATGCTGGTGAAAGTTCTAGTAATTCCATGGCTTTTACTAGAGCACCTTGTGTAGAAAACAATTCTGTTCGAGGCAATCCAATGAACCTGCCATTTTGGCCAGGAAGTTTTCCTCAACCACAATTTAAAACACCAGAAAATACAAATGATGTGCTAAATGATGGTATAAATTTGTTTGAATATCAGTTATATTTTATACAGATTCATTTGAATTTATAGATTTATTAAGAGTTGCACCTGGTATTTCAAGAGGTCTATTATTTGATGATGATGGAAACACTGTAATTGGCTATGCTACAGAGGAAGATGCATCAACAAAAGTCAATATTCCAGAAAATAAAATTAATTTAGCTGAATTAATTCGCGAAGAAGAGGCTAAATTAGGTAAGGGACGCCATTTTGATCTAAAAGTAACATTTCTATATTGTATTTTAAAATAAGGTATCTGGAAAAGTAATGATAATGAAGATAACATGCAAAGCACAGAAGAGAACATTCTAACATCCGAAAATCCTGATGAAGAATCAATTTTACCATCGGAAGATTTGCAATTGCCTGTTTTAACATTAACAACGAAGAGTGATAAATCCATCACCGGCAGTGAATACGCTGTTTTGGTGGATTGCAGTAAACCAATTACAAATTTCGAGGAATTAATACCTGAAATGGCGCATCAATACCCCTTCGAGCTAGACACCTTCCAAAAACAGGCAATTATCCAACTCGAAAAACACAATCACGTATTCGTGGCCGCGCACACATCTGCTGGAAAAACCGTTGTCGCAGAATACGCCATTGCTCTGTGTGAGAAGCACATGACCCGATCAATTTACACTTCACCGATCAAAGCGTTATCCAATCAAAAGTACCGAGACTTCAAACAGACCTTCAAAGATGTGGGCCTGATTACCGGTGACTTTCAAATCAACCCAACAGCATCCTGTCTTATTATGACAACTGAAATCCTCCGCAGTATGTTATACTGTGGTAGTGAAGTAACACGAGATATTGAGTATGTTATTTTTGATGAGGTGCACTATATTAACGATAAAGAACGTGGACATGTATGGGAACAAGTGTTGATTATGTTACCGGAACGTGTCTGCGTGGTGATGTTAAGCGCGACTGTTCCTAATACAATTGAATTTGCTGATTGGTTAGGTCGTACCCATCAAAGAAAAGTTTATGTTGTTAGTACTACACATAGACCAGTACCACTTGCGCATTATCTTTACACTGGTACATCAGGAGTATCAAAGAATAATAGGTTTAAAATTCTGGATGATTCTGGATGGAAAAGGCAGGGATACGAGCAGAGTAAAGCTACGATTGGGACAAGTAACAACACTCATCGATTTCATATTAAGCAGGAGAATACCATGTGGTATGCTTTGGTAGATCATCTGAAGACTTGTGATTTGTTGCCTGTGGTTGCGTTTACTTTCTCACGAGCGAAATGTGATTCAAACGCGCAGAGCTTGAGAAGTTTGGATTTAACAACACAAAGAGAGAAGTATGCTATTTCGCATTTCTTTGAAGAGTGCATCAGGAGTTTAAAGGAACCTGACCGTAATATACCACAGATTATTTTAATGCGGGATATTTTAAAACGAGGTATTGGAGTTCATCATAGTGGAATTCTTCCTATTATCAAGGAGATTGTTGAGATGCTGTTTCAGAATCGTTTATTAAAGGTAAGTTAAGAAGCAGTTATAGTCTCCTATTGTAACTAATATGTTTCTAGTTGTTATTTGCCACGGAAACATTTGCTATGGGAGTGAATATGCCCTCAAGAACAGTTGTTTTCGATTCAATTAAAAAACACGACGGACATGAACGAAGACAACTTCTACCCGCGGAATATATCCAAATGGCGGGTCGTGCAGGTCGCAGAGGTAAAGACAAGAAAGGAACGGTCATTATTTTGTGTAAAGGTGAATTACCGCCTGCGAGTCAACTTCAGGAGATGATGCTTGGCAAACCCAGCCATTTAACAAGTCAATTTCGTATTACTTATGGCATGGTGCTGAGTTTGTTAAGAGTTGAAAGTTTAACGGTAGAAGGCATGATGTCGCGGAGTTTTCGTGAGGCTGACCACCAGAAAAGTATGATTAAGATGAAAAAGGAACTGGAACGTGTTGAAGATACATTGAACAATGATTATTCCAGTGAATTAAGCGCTTATTTAGAGCCATTGGTCGAGTTTTATCGAAAAGCACGCCGATATTTAGATGCCAGGAAGGACTCAATTGTAAGTAAACTTTAACAACTATATTGTTATTATTATTAATATAAAAATATTGTTTTAGACTGATATCATTTCAAGTGCTAAAGCTTTGAAAGTGTTGGTCCCTGGTAAACTGATTCTGATCACTCACATGAATCATATTAATAAATTAGCTTTGATACTGTCACAATCAAAACGCAATCCGATCACTTTTCGCGTTTTGGTCTTAACAGATGATAATGATATGAGTAATGATACAACTTGTGATGAGAAAACAGAATGTTGGTATAAAATGTTGGGACTTTCACGCACAATTGTATACTGTCCAATTGAGAATCCAAGTCATGAAGTACTTACAATAAGTCCATCGGACATCTTTTACGTTTGCAACAAAAAAATCAAAGCAGAATACGATTTTGTCCTTAAAGACTATGACCAGCGACAGATTCCAAGATTCAAAGACAATCCACCTGGAGATGATTGCAGGGAAGCCGTGGAAGAATTGTTTAAGTTAACAACATCCATCAAAAACGACTCTATGCTTGATTCATCTCTAGGTTTCATGGACTACATTAAAGATATGAATATTGTAGAGGAAAGTCTGTATCTGAAAATATCACACTTAAATCAGTTACGCACAGACGTTGAATCCCATGTGGAAAATCTACAGATTCCGAATTTTGAGAATCAGTTTAATATTGTATTCAAAAAGAAGATTCTAGAAGATGAACGCGATTTTCTGAAGCACATGCTGTCGGATGCCAGCATGGCGTTGTATCCTGATTATGAGAACAGAATTCAATTATTGAGACATTTAAAGTATGTTGATGCACAGAATCGTGTCGAATTAAAAGGTAGAGTCGCGTGTGAAATGGGAATGAATGAACTGCTCATCACCGAATTGGTGTTGAGGAATATTCTGACAAAGTTAAAACCTGCTGAGGTTGCTGCATTATTATCGTCGATGGTTTTCCAAGCAAAAACCAACGCGGAATTATCGGAAAACGAATTTCCAGCGGAATTACAACATGTAAGTTGTTATTTTTAGAGGTTATAGTGATTTTAAGTTGAAATTTACAGGGAATTCAAGAAATTAAAGACATTTTCCAAGAAATTCAACAACTTGAAGCTGAATATCAAGTATATGGTGATGATTTCAAAGATTTGAATTTCGGACTGGTGCATGTGGTCTACGAATGGGCCTCGGAGAAACCTTTCGCTGAGATAATGTCCCTCACGGATATTCAAGAAGGTATTATTGTGAGGTGTATTCAACAGTTGAACGAAGTTATTTGTGATGTGAAGAACGCGGCGAGGTTGATTGGTGATCCAGCGCTTCACAGCAAAATGGAGGAGGCTTCTACCGCCATTAAACGCGATATTGTTTTTGCTGCTAGTTTATACACGCAGAGGGACTCCACGGTAATCTAATTAAAAATTAAAACATTATTTCATTTTACAGAATAGAACATAAGGTGTATTATGAATTTGCAAACTTATACCATATTAAAAAACATTTTGTTTTGATTTTTACAATGCGCGTTGATCATTATTTGAATTCAAAGCACCCTGGCCTTTTGATACGTCGCTAATGCATTGCCAAGAGCCTTCTAATGCTTGTTTCCACAGTGTGATTTTGTTATCACCTCCTGAGACTGCTAATATGTTTCCATTCAATGACCAACTGACATTCCATACTACATCTTCAAATGTGTGCAGGACAGTAGAGCTCCAGCTCTGGCAATCTTCACTTGTCCAGATTACTACTCTCCTATCCTGTGAGCAGCTTGCAATTACATGTCTGTGCAAACCAATGGATGGTGCCCACGACACATCTCGAACCCAATCTGAATGCACTTCTAGTTTGTGCTCCTTTACCCAGTGATCACCTTCCTCCTTCCATATCTTAACCAGATTATCACAACCACCTGAAACCAATCGTTTTTGCAGTGTGGTTGATTGGGTGTTATCATATGCAGGCTCAAATGCTGGTGTAATTGCTGGGCACCAGCTGACTGCATTGCAGCCTATTGTGTGTGCGTTTTGAATCTTCTTCGCATCCCAAGTATTGGTCTCACTTTGATAGGTAAGAATTGATATGGTGCCGTCGCTGCTGCCACAAGCAAGGATTAAACCGAATTCAGATGGGGCAAATTGTACAGAGTTTACACTTGAATCATGATTTGAATATTCATAATACTGACTCCATTTGCCTTGGACCTCGCGCCAGATAATTACTTTCCTGTCGTACGAACACGATGCTAATAGATTACCAAATTTCGGATGGCTCCACGCTATTTGCCATACGGGACCAGAGTGGCCCTTCAAGTCGCCGATCAGGTTGTGGGCCCCATTTTTGATGTCGTAGACTTTAACGGAATGGTCGGAAGAACAAGTTGCCAGACGTAGGCCGTAGTAGTCCACTTCGGCGTCGTGGATCATATCTTCATGGCCGGTATCGATTGAGTTGAGTATAGAAGTCATGTTTACAATAATTTGCGATTTCTTTCGGACGTAAACACTTCGACAAGAGACAACCGAACAAAACTGACGTGGAAGATCAGCCGCGGTAACCTTACATTTAGTTAGGGTTTATTTGTTGGCAGTTAGTTATTTAATTCAGTGCGTCATTTTTCCTATAGACGGCAGCACCTGTTTTTGGTACTGTATATAACGCTTGTATATAAGGAATTTTATTTACAAGCCATAAAGCTTTAAATCTAAATTATGTTAATGGTTTCCAATTTAGAATTTAATCTACTTTCCGAATCCGAAATCAGAATTTAAAAATTCCCATTATTACAAAACCTGCATTTGCTGAAAAAAGATTTCGTCATAAAAAAGGCAAAACATTTTTCTTTTTTATGTCGAATACAGTTTTCAGTAAAATTGAAAATAGGACGTGAACAGTTAGCGTTAGAAAAAAAAGTTACTAAAATAATCGATGTAGAATTAAAATCCCTATCAGAAACCGAAAACAGAATTTAAAATTTCCAACTTTTAATTTTCTACATAAAAAAGAGAAATCTTTTGCCTTTTTTATAACAAAATCTTTTCTTTAAAAATTTTTTGTGCCATTTTTATCATTTTTTAATAAGAATGCTATCTTGTAGAGATTTTTTCAAGGATTATGAATATGAAGCTCTTTTTTATCTAGGCCTTTTAGTTGTCGAGATAATCAGATAATTAGTTTCTTTTTTGTGTTCAAACTTAAAAATTGGAATTTTTAAATTCTGTTTCCGGATTCTGATCATGAATTTAATTCTACATCGATTATTTAAGTAACTTTTTTGCATATAATTAACCGTTTAGGCCCTATTTGCAATTTTAATGAAACAATTGCATGCCGTCGGAATAATTTAATTTACAGGATTAAAATAGTAATTATCTCGACAACTAAAAGGGCTAGAAAACAAAGAACTACATATTCTTGATCCTCGAAGAATTCTGGACAAGATAGCATGCTTATTGAAAAACGATAAAAATGGCACAAAAAATTTTTAAAGAAAAGATTTTGTTATAAAAAAGGCAAAAGATTTCACTTTTTTATGTAGAAAATTAAAAGTTGGAATTTTTAAATTCTGTTTTCAGTTTCAGATAGACAATTTAATTCTACATGGATTATTTTAGTAACTTTTTTTGCTAACGTTAACCGTTTAGGCCCTATTTGCAATTTTACTGAATACAGCATTCGACATAAAAAAGAGAAATCTTTTGCCTTTTTTATGATGGAAACTTTTCGAGGCATCTTCGAGCGAAAATAATTTTAATAAAATAGTTTGACCCTGTTATTCGAGCAAAAATAATTTAAACAAAACAGTACACCCCTGTTCTTCGACAGAAAACAATTTTTAAACATCCTTTTAATGAGCATTTCAGAGCACTTAATAAGAATTTAAAGGGAAGACAATGTGTACAGGAGATACAGGGTGTTTTCAACAGAAAATAGCAAGACAATCACTTGAATTTGAGCACATTTTTATTAAATTATATCATAAATACATGTATTTGCTGCAAAAACACTTTCAAAAAATGCACAAATGTATGTTGTATGCTCACATCGCAAACGCAAGCCGCCGCTGCTCTTGTCTCAACCATATAAAATGCTATTGTCTACAAAGTTAAAACTCTAATAACTTATTAATCATATTATCACAATGCTTTCAATTGGAAACACATACGCAAAAACCCATTGCCCTCGCACAATTAGTAAGAAAAATGCAACAGAAAACAGAATCAACTATCACGATGATGGCGCTAAAGGTGCGTTGGTATAAAAATCGCCTTACAACTAATCTTTCGAACACGTTTGCTACACGAAGAAAATCTACTGGTGTTTGGTATGTCGCTTAGTCATTTTGTAAATTCGTATCATAAAAATATATACTTTGTATAAATGCATCGTATGTCATCCTGTGCGCCAGTCGGATTATGTGTATCGTTTAGTTTAATCAATTACATTATCGAAACAAACAAATTTGAAAAAAATTAGTCGGAGGTGATGGGGGATAGTACTGTCTAAGTACACGTCGGTGTTGGCTTCGTCGGTTGTTCTAGGCGGTCGAGCAGTGTTACATCACCACGCTGGAAGTCTTCTTCAAGACGGAATCGTTGTGGTTGAGCACGAGGCTGCCGATCAACGCGACCAGCGCACGATCCAGCCACGTTACTGGGTTCGGATAAATCAATCCACCTTCATAGAATCCAAGATGTCCGCCGTGTGCAACTTCTACATACAAGGTCTTTTTGCGTTTCACTACAAACACAAAAAATACATTAACACATCAATTAAATACTTAAAAAGTGAATATCTTACTTGCAAACTCTTTGATAGGTTCCAAAAGTTCTTCGTGCACAATTGGATCATCCTTGGCGTTGATAAACAGCATAGGAACTTCGATATTATCGAGATAGTTGATGCAAGAGCTCCATTTGTACAAAGCAGAGATGCTTTTGAAGTTGGTCATCTTGCGTGTGTAAGCATCATCCAGTTCAGGTAGCGTAGCCGCCGAAATAATCTCATGTTCCACCAATCGGTGACGTTGCTTCACCTCGTCGGAAAGCAGCATGTGTCGATGGCGCAGGATAATACCTTTCATGTTCTCCGTCATCACGTACAAGTAGAAGCGGCGGAAGTTTTGCCAATTCAGCAAATAGTGCGTGCCCCTAATTGACATTAATCACAAACAGTTACATTCAATTCAAGCGAATAGATTAGAAAAATTTAGCGTACTTAATGGCGTTGTAGCCCTGACAAATTGAAACGGCGCCGATTATCTGCGGTGGACGCTCGCGTTCTGTCTCACCCATGTATTTCGTGACAATGTTACCACCCAGGCTGAATCCGATGCATACCAGTTGCGTATTGGAATGCTTAATGACAAGATGTGTGAGCATTTCATGAAAATCGCCAGTATTACCTGTAAATATAAATTTAATTAAGTTTATCTACTTTCAGTGTCATTTTTCATGTTTTTTAAGACCGTGACTAAATACTTTAATAATTCCCACGTACCATAACTGAAAATGCGTGGTGATGTCACTGGTACACTGTGCAAGGCACCAACGTGATTGAGCACAGCGCAGCGATATCCATGACATTGCGCCCAGTGGACGAAAGTCCTGATGTAGACGCTTTCGGAAGTGTTTCCGATGCCAGGCACAATGGCAATTGTCACATCATCTACAAAAAAAAAATTTTTAATTAAAAAACAAAATTAAAATTTTTCTGATGATACCTTCACTTATTGCACCCAAAGGTTGATATAAATCGTAGGTGAGGGTACTGCCATCCTGCAGGACAAGATACACCCGCTCGCCGATAGGCCACGGACATCTCACACGACCAATAATACTATGCAGTATTGTTTGAATATGCCCGCTAAATCCCCATAATCTCGTCGGGGAATACCTAAAATTAAAAAGCAGAGATAAAAACATGTTCAGCATGAAAAACAGTTCATTGTGCAGCTGCTGGCAGCGTTTCTAAACTAAGTGGGCGTGTGTTTTGTTTGTGGAAATATTTGAGACGATCCGGTGCGGGTTCATCGGCATCCGCCGCCCTCACCTCACCGAGAAAAGTCAATAATCACAGCTCAGGTCGCAATCCAAATTCATGAATGAAGGCGAGACATCTCATGAATCATCATATCATAGTTTTTTCTAGTTTATTTTGGTTAGTAAACACATAAAATGATAAAATAACTCTTTTTGTGGATTTGTTGATTAATCAAATATTGTTTTGCGCGTTATGTTGATATTTGCGACGTAGAATATGTCCAGCATGAGGAAAATATCGATTCGACGCTTTTTCCAAGCCACCTCGGGGCCTCGGAGTGTGTTTAGCAGTGCGTTCGGTTGTGTAATGGTCGTAATCAATGGCAATAAAACGTAAAACCGGCGCGCTCACGCCATTTGCATCCTTTTTACATTTATACAACATACGCTGTGGTTTTCCGGAAAACACTCGAATCGATATAGATCGGGTCGAGGGCGATAACGCAGCGCAATCACTTTTTGTTAAGTGGACAGAAAAAAAAAACACATAAGCGCGCAGTTTATTGACGAAAACACGAAAACCACACGAATTGTTATTTTCGAGGCATAATTCGCCTTTGTTGAGCGTAAACGAATTTTAATTAACAATAACACGCTTGCATGAACACTCGTTGTGCCAAAAAAGTTAAACAACTTGTGTTTTTTTTATTGTTTCGAGTTTCGGAACGCAATTTCTAGTGTTTTTTTTTTTTCGGCGAAAATGACGTCAGAAGATTGGTGAATCCCTTGTGACAAACGCGTCATTTTCGCCACGTTTCCTCCATTTCTTGGAATGTGTCTAGCAGGCGGAAAATATTTGGGTCGAGGTCGGGTCGAGTACGGAGGGCCCAACTCATCCTGACCTACAACCGATTCCCAGATACAAACACACAACGTGCGTCATTGAACAAAACACCCACGAAAGCAACAATTACGCAAATAAACCGAAAAGTGCACAAATTCTGAATGAATATCGTAGTAAAATGTTGGATTAAATTCGTAATTCCCCAGAGAGCACTTCTGCACTTTTCTTGGCAAGCGTAACGGGTCGGAATCCCGCCTAAAAATAGCCACATTCAACAGAAGTTTAATTATATTAAATACTAGCTTTAACCCGCGAATATCTAAAATAATGAAGTTGCATCCGTACGCGTCTGTAGTCACAGAAGAAGTAACAATGAAGTAGAATGGCGGGAAGTTTAAAATGGCTGAAAGTATAGTCTATGGAAGTATAGTGTACAGTCTCCATAGTGTAGTCAATTGGATTTGATGTTGACGTAGCTGTCGGTAATACAGTGTGATAATACAGTGTGATGGTACTATAGTACTTAGGTTTGAGCTTCATTGCTGGAATGCTAGATGGCGTTAAAGTAGTCAAATAGCCAGATGCAGAGGTATTATTGGCTAAACAATTTCTTTATTTTATTTCAAAAATATTTTTTTTTATTAAATAAAAAGTAGCCTATAACCATTCGGGGACCACGAAGAATATGTGTACAAATTTTCATGATGATCGGTTAAGTAGTTTTTGCATGAAAGTGTAACAAACATCAGGACTTTCGCATTTATAATATTAGTAGGGATATTTCTGTTTTTCTTCAAAAACTAACATATTATTATCACATACAACAATTGTTAGCTTAAAAAATAGCACATTGAGAAATGGTGGTCGAGATATTTGCGTTTCGCGTATTGTTTTTGAAAATAATTTGTAAATGCGAGCACGTACAATACTTTCACCGGGCGTTTTGCATTTTATTTTCTTCCTTCCTTTCTCGTACACATTCCGAATCTACACGTCTCCAGCCATAGCAATTACTGCACTTGTTGCAACAAGCAATTGTTTGCGGTCATGACTCATTGCAGCGCTGCAACAATATTTTCTAATTGCAGCCGCTGGAAATTTCATTCACAAGTTACATAAATGCGCGCACACGGAGCAGAAAAACATTTCCTCGCAATTATTATTAATGTATAATCGCCGGCGATTATGCCGCGCATGTTTTGCTTCAACTTTTTTTTGCAAAAAAAAAATACGAAGCAAAAAAATTTGCGATTGACGCAAACGCTTGGGATAATTACATTCGGCGAATGCATCGCATCGGGTAGCAGACAAATACGGCTAATAAAATTTAATAATATCTTGCGTGGTTGGCGAGTGCGGCTTGTTTCGGACTAATGCGTAATTGTTTGTGTATTATTAATTTTAATTCTCTTCGCGGCACGACAGTTTCATTCACATGAATTAATTAATTACTACATAATATAGGTACTTTTCTTTTAACGGATTTCAAATTCGTAATTTACATCGAATTCTCTAAAAGATAAGCTAGTTAAATTGCAAATCTGAGAGATGGAATTCTAATTCATACGAAAAAATGAACAAATGAGAGTCAGCTAAAGCATTAGCCACGTACGGTGCCCTGAACACGAGTCACTTCTACCGCTAGCCTCCTAAGGAACCCTGAATCGAGTCACTTCTACCGCTAACCTCCTACGGTGTCCTGAACACGAGTTACGTCTACCGCTACCCTCTTACGGTGCCCTGAATAAAGTCACTTCTACCGCTAGCCTCATACGGTGCTCTGAACACGAGTCACTCTACCGCTACCCTCGTACGGTGCCCTGAACACAAGTCACCTATCGATGAAATAATCATAAGGAAAATGGACAAAGCGAAAAATCGAAATTCTTACCGCATTTAAGATTAATTAACACAGATAAATTTAATAATCCCAAAAAATTCCATAACTCACTCAATTATCCCACCTATTGTATAATTTACTAATCTAATCAGTAAATATTCACACCTGAGTTGCCATGGTCCTTGAACGACCTTCAACTATCTGCACTATACCGTTAAACATAATTATTCCCATGCATAATTATTGATTATGGGTCAGGAAGAAACTAATATACGAGTCACACCCTAGCATAACATGATGTTGGTAATATTTTATTTTACTTGGCGCATTATTGAGGCCACTTACTCGTACAGCTGACGTTATAAAAAAGTTATGACCTATAATTTGCCGGCATCAATTTATTCCGGCGCGCATTAATAAATAGATTCGATGAAAATATTCATTTCTCGCTGCGTCGAAGGACGAGGTCATGTCACATGAGACCAAATACACTTGTAGAACTCACACGCCTTGAATGCAGTGGCGTAGCGTGCCTTGTCGGGGCCCCGTATAAAAATTTTTTTGGGGGCCCTTATATGGAGGTAAAGGTTTTTCCTTACACACTTTGGGGGCCCCCGTGGCCCGGGGGCCCCGTATAATTGATACGGCAAATACGGCGGTAGCTACGCCCCTGCTTGAATGACAACTAATACGGTGACATTGCTAACAGTACAACACACAAAACATCAACTTTTATGAAAGACTTATCGTAAATGCGTCTCAAAATATTGTATTCTTATCAGCCGGGTGAGAAAAATAAGCGTCACTTAAAAATTAAAATGTTACATCAGTGTAATATACTCGTACTGTTATCTACTGTAGACTATTCTCATTTCGGTTTATCGCACTTGATGACTAATTTCTCATGTGTTTAAATAGGATAATTGTGAAAACCTATAAAATAAGTGCGAAATTCCTAGGTGATAACATAAGCATGAGTTTAGGTTAAAATATTTGACGAATTGCATTAGACATTCGTTGATCTATCGCAATATGTAAATTTAGATACTAAAATGGTGTACCAACACGCACATCAACTTAGTTATGTGATCGAGATAACAGCCCGACGCGAATATTGCATGTTTGAATACATTAGCAATAAATTGTGCCATCTACATGGAAGGCAAATGAATGGCAAACGGAAGTTTTTCGTCTTTGAAGTCAAAACAATCAAAAAAATTAAGTATTACGTTTTTTGTGACTCAAACACGTAAAAGCCACTAATTTTAGTCACGGGCGTGACTAAAGTGCAAATTTGTATATCAAAACCGTGGAAAAAGTGTTGTTTTAAAGGTGGAAGTAGAAAAAAAGCAAATAAATGACAAAAGTAAATTTTTCGTCTTTGAAGTCAAAACAATCGCGGATCAAAAAAATTTCAGTACGTTTTTTGTGACTCAAACACGTAAAACCACTAATTTTAATCACGGGCGTGACTAAAGTGCAAATTTGTGTATCAAAACCGCAGAAAAAGTGCTGTTTTAAAGGTGGAAGTAGAAAAAAAGCAAATAAATGACGAAAGTAAATTTTTCGTCTTTAAAGTTAAAAAGTTAAAACAATCAACAATAAAAATACAAAAAAATAAAAGTCGGTCGAGTAGAAACAAATGAAAGTAAACCTAAAAATTTCACGAGTTTGGTAAACAATGCGATCATCGCTTCATTTAGGATACAAGTATAATTAATTATTAAGCCATACTCGTGATTAATTGTACGCTGTAGGTATGAATCATGCATAAATTCGCATCGCGAGCGTCGTTTTCACGTGATGATTGCGTGCGCGAATTCAAGCGCGACGCGCCTTGAACCTCCAGCCTACTCGATATTGTTATTATTATTTTATAACGATTACGAAATTCAAATTACTTTATTACCGGCAATCAAGCGCGCATGCGCAATGTTTATTTGTTTAAACATTAAACCATCCGAAATCTAACAAGATAAATATTTGCGGAGAACGGTACATTGTAAAATGTGTTTCTATGCCTCATCCTCCACTTCTCTTTACTTCCTTCTTTGGGTACAACCGGTACAAGTTCAAGATCAACAACATACAATGTGTTTAAAGTATGAATTATTTAGTTGTGTTAAATTAATTAAAATTAAATGAAAAACGTTTTGTTTTACTTACGGTTCTAGAATTAACGGTGCAATCTTCTTCACGGTGTCCAGGAAGTTAACATCGCCGCAGCAGATGACCGGCTTCTGAGGCTGGCTGTGTACATTCAGCATGCGAAACAGCACGCAGAGGATCACGGCGACGACGGCAAGCAACGCGGTCGACATCCTAACAAATCTCTGTGTTTCGGTGTTCGTTCTCTTCGCACATCGGAATTTCACCGCTTTTGTTTATCACAACACGCCTCCCCGTCCTCCGGTGTTGATGATAATGCAAGCGCGTACGACAACAGCGAGCGCCTTGGCGTGACTGAATGGAATGGCAATTTTGTAATGGTAACAATGTAATCGAGTCCTGCGCGTTCGACCGTGGCATGCGCGCGAGCAACAGCTGAAGTTGAAAAAACCTGCTGCGGTGACGGCGAATTTTGATTGTTTAACATAGGCAACACAATATACACCAATCCTTATACGTTGTCTATACATGTCTAAACAAATGTTATGTTATATTATGCTTGGAAACTTATTAGGAAAAGAAAAAATGAACGGAAGAGCTAATTTCTGACACGAATCTGAATGATTACGTTAATTGGCATCGATTTGAGCGTATTTCCATGCGTTAAAAAGCATAATTTGCGCAAATTGCATGAAAATTGCACGGTAATTTGTCCTAGCACTTGAACTTGTGATATTATCCGTCTCACACTCGCGATGCATTGCGCTGCATAGGGAAAAAGTGAAACTTTCGGTTTCATTTCCCCCGTTAAACGCCAGTCGCGGTAAAAGTGCATCCCGTTGCAATTTCGCGCGACCAGACAAGATTTCATTAGATTTCGATCGTCGGCGGCGAGTGGTTGCATCGCAAAACTATTTCTTCAACTTCAAACAACAAAATATTCCTCAAAACGTAAGTGAAAACAATATTTAAAACAAAAACTAAATTTTCCAACAAAAAAATCAAACTTCACAAACTTTTTTAACAGAAATTCAAAGAAAAATCTAAGTGAGAGTGAAACCTAACTTGAACTTCGCAAAGATCAATGCCAAATCGGACTTTTACTATTTGCGTTCGCGCTTTCCTCGTATATAATACATTATGCATTCAACTTTCCCCGTGGTAGATAAAATTTATTACACTGATTTCATGTGGTATGTGTGTGCCTAGATGCGATCGTCCATGATCAAACTGGTGTTGTTGTCGTTGCTGATTGGCGCGACGAAGGCGGCGCACTTTCGCATGATGATGTTCGGCCTGTTGGGCCTCGCCGGTCTCTGGATGATGAATAACGTTGCGAGGGCAAGCAGTGGAGCTACATCCGAAGACCGCGGGCAGGGATTATTCCCGAATTTCAGCGTCGCAAGTTTAGCGAATCGTTTTCTCACCAAACGCTCCGTAGATAATCCCGTAAACATCAACATCAACTGGGAAGCTGTCTTGGAAAATGATTTATCCACGTGTACACGCAGTTATGTTTGTCAGATCGTCGCAGCAGAGGAAGCAGACTTGCACCCGGAGGAAGCCATCATGCTTAATATTATTAAGTAAAAAAACACAAATTTTGTGTTTTTTGTTGATTTTTACTTATTTTTTGCTTCAGGCAGTCGAAAGAAGTCGAGAGTAGTAACTGGGCAACGAAACAAATTCATCTTGCGGCGCGTAGTGGTGAAAAGTGGAGAAATAAGTCGGTTTGTATGAAAATCTACAAGCGTTGTCCTTATACAAGTGCTACGATGCGGCAGTTATTGAGCACCCTTAATGTGGACTCGCGTAAATAAGTTTTTATCTTTTTCTTGATCAAGCCGTATGTAAATTAATTTAAATTTTATTAAATGTTGTTTTGTGTACAACCGTGCGAGTGTGTTACTTTTTACCTTTCGATTTTCCACCACCAGTTGTAAGTGGTTGACCTGTCGCAGTTGCTAATTTCTTTTTCAGCGCTAGCAGAATATCTACCTGCGGTTGCACTTCGGTCTTAGTGGCACCGCTTTCCTTTAATTTGCGTACCACTTGACCCTGAATCAGAAAACATTTAGTGTTATTAATTAATTATATAAAATTAATGAAGTGATTGAAGTATTTAACCTGTTTTTCTATTTCGGCTTCGATGGTTTTGACGTCCACACTTGGATTTGTGGAGTTTTGCGTCTGCGCAGTTTCTAGTTGTTTTTTTAATGACAGTAAGATGGTAACTTCCGGTTGCCATGTTGATTTTTCAGCACCACTGGATTTAAGCGCTCGGACTTTTTCTCCCTGCGCTTGTACAGCTTTTTCTAATGATGCAACATCACCACTGGCCTGTGGTTGTGCTGCAGGTGTCTTTTTCGGTGATGATTTAGCACTTTTCTGTGCAGTTTCTAGTTGTTTCTTTAAATCCAATAAAATAGCGACCTCTGGCTGCCATTTTGTTTTCTCCACACCGCTTGATTTCAAAATGCGTACTTTATCCGCTTGTTCCTGCACAGCTTGTTCTAATTTTTTAATATCATCTGAAGCAGCACCAGACGCAGGTTTTTCCTGAACCCCACCGAATCGTTGCCTCAACTCATCAACCCTGGCAGTTTCTAGTTTCTCAAAAAGCGGCGCAGGTTTACCGATTTTATGCCCCGCAGGTATCAACATAACAATATCAGTATTATCAGGTGTTAATACGAAGTTATCCGCCGGGGCAGCGAGCTGCGACCGCAAAGCGCGGCTCGCATCCGGCATGTAAGGGAAAAGTAACGTGGCCAGCAAACAGGTAATATTACAGCAGATGCCAATCACCGTACCGGCACGTTTTCTATTAAAACAATCGGCAATAAGTAAACAAGTAAACAATCAACTGAACAAAACACTTACTTGTCTTCATCGGTGCCTTTTAGCAACACCCACGGCTGCGTGGCTTGCATGTACTGATTACCGTGCTTGGAAATGGCTAAAATGTGACGAATGCCATCACGCAGCTTGGTCTTCTCTAACGCTAAACAATACGCTCGTAATTCGCGTGCGCACAGCGCAAGCACGTTGAAATCGTCGTCGGTTGGGTGCATTTCGGGGATCATTGAGTTGAAGAATTTCTCCGTGAACACCAACGCACTAAATAAACCAAAAAATAAACATTAAGTTATTTTTTAAACACAAATTGTTTTTACCATAAATTACAGTTTCCTGTAAAACCTACCGATTACAAAAGTTGCCGAGATTATTCAACAACTCGGAATTAACTTTCGTAGCTAAATCCGTCCAGCTGAAACTTGAATCGGCGACTTCCGGACGAATGTACAATAAATAAAACCGCCAAACATCGCTAGGAATACCAGTATCCTGCGCATTATTACCAAAAACTCCAACTCCTCGCGACTTTGAAAACTTGCCATCTTCATAATTAACATATTCCGTCGCCATGATGTGTTTAACCAACACCCAACCCTCATTAGCTCCCAGCAAACACCCCGGAAACATAACCGAATGAAACGGCACGTTATCCTTGCCCATGAATTGAAACAATTCAACATTCACAGCCTTTTCAGGCTTCCACCACTTGGCCCATTGTTTCGTATACCTTTCAGTAATGGAAACATAACCTAGCGGAGCATCAAACCAAACATAAAACACTTTATCCCTGTAACCATCCATGGGTACAGGCACACCCCATTTGAGATCCCTAGTAATACAACGAGGTTTCAAACCTTCTTTCATCCATGACCTTGTAATCACCTTGGCGTTGTTCGTCCAGCCATCCGGAGCAGTTCTCATCCAATTTAGTAATAAAGGTTCCAGTTTATTCAATTGCAAGAAAAACTGCTCAGAATTTTTCATAACAGGCGCATTGCGACACACCTTGCATCGTGGATTCTTCAATTCGATAGCATTCACGAGTTTACCACAACCATCACATTGATCACCACGTGCATCTTCATAATTACACCCTGGATGTGGACAACCACCTTCAACGAATCTATCAGCAAGATATCTATTGCATTTTTCACATAATAATTGTTCAACGGATTGTGTCTCCATGAATCCGTTGTCGTTCAATGTTTTAAACATGTTTTGAACAACAACTGTTTGTTCCGGGGTTGTTGTTCGCCCGAAATAATCAAACCCGATGTTAAACCAGCGATAAATATTATTGTGAATTTCGAAATATTTATCACAGATTTGTTTAGGTGTTAAGCCTTCTTCTAAGGCTTTTGTTTCCGTTGCGGTACCATATTCATCTGTACCACCGATAAACAGTGTATTCCAATTGCATAATCTTGCAAAACGAGCGAAAACATCCGCGGATAACACGCATCCGATGATATTACCTAAATGTGGTACATTATTCACATAGGGCAGTGCAGCGGTTATTAAAATGTTTCGTTCTCCTTTGATGGGTAATACTGGGTTGACTTCTTTTTTGGGCTGGGGAAGTTTACCCACAGCAGACCAGGCGGTTTTGGCTGCTGATAATTCTTCAGGTGTTACAGATACTTCCTCTGTTGGAGTTGTTGAAGTTGGTGGAACAATAGAAGTTGGATATTTAGCACCTGTTAAGAGTGCTTGGATTGATACTAAACCTGGCGTGAGTTTGTATTTTGCCAAAGCATCTTGCATTTGTTTTTCTTTGGATAACTTTGTCAGCCATTTTGTTAGATTATCAAAAGTGTCCAGATATTCTTTTTTAATGATGGATCACTCAACAATGGGTATAAAGTTGACCAAAGTGCAATGTCATGTAATAAAACTGCCTGTGATCATTTAATAATAATAATTTTAAGTTAAAAAATGTTAAAATATGATTTTAAACTTTTATAACTTACTTTGCTTGTATAAGAAGTTGCATAACCTTCTAGGACCTTCAGCAAACTCAACAAACTTTGTTTGTGTGCTGCTGATTTACCAGCAATGGCCAATGCAACACTAGGAGCAAGTTGACTTGCCTCAAACTCCAACCATTTTAGGGATACTTTTTCATCTTCAGGTTTACACAACCCAAGAAGTTGTAGCACGGCATTTGATGAAAACAAACGAAGATCTTCGTTAATTTGCACCACAGGTAGACGTTGTTGAGATGGACGCGATTTATCTAATAAAAAATATTAATTATAAAGATTTTTAAGTTGCGAGTCAACTAACGGTATTTTAATTGTGGTAGTTGTATTACATACCAGCTGGTGTAAATATTTCCAATTTATAATCAGATTTCTGCGCGTAATTAAACGCCACGACGAGTTTTAACGTCGCCGGGTTGTTCTCGTTGGTCGTTATAGTCCACATTTTCGTAGGAAATGTGGAAAACACGACCGTGATGCAATGATCTATGCCGGTGAGTCAATCTCGTCAACCTTTTAAAGGTTATGATGAATGCACACACGGCGCACACGTCAGAAACGTCAGGTGTACATGTGGAACGTGCGAAAATCTCGCAATTTATTTAATTTACTGTTTTCTTAAATAATAAAAACATAATTATAGTAAATAAATCATTTTAAATAGAATCTGCATTAGTCTCTGGCAAATAAATTTGTAAATATCTCTTAAATTCAATTTTTTTTAATTTTAAAAATTGAATTTTATAAAAGCGACGCCTGGTGGATATGTACAGAACTACTTCACACTATGTATGCTACCGAGGGATACTCAGTAAATAACGAATATAGGTAAATAACTGCGATTAACTGGCGCCAAATAAACATAACCGCTGAAACCAGAATTTTGTTTGCACATTTCCATCAGCACTATTTTTCATCATTCCATTGTCTCTGTGTATTAATCGAATGGTCTTCCTCACATAAGCAATAAACATGGTTGGATTCAAAGTAGACGACAAAGTCTTCGGCAAAGTGAAGGGATATCCCGCATGGCCAGCAAGAGTAAGTTAACAAATATTGAATTGCTTCTAATTCAAATAAATAAAACTTCTTAAACTAATCCCAATTATTTCTAAGGTGACTTCTGTGAATGGCAAACGATACGGCGTGGTTTTCTATGGCACAAATGAAACGTAAGCAAGTTTATATCAAGAAATGCAACCATTTTGGACTATAAATCGCTTGAAACTATCAAATTATTTAGTTTTAAGTTGTTTAACAGTCCTAGAAAAACTTTTGTAACCGCCGACTATCACGTTTAGAGCTTGTAGTGATGGTGCCAGTGTACAAAACATTCTCAAACAATAATTTCAGTTATAATTATCATGATTTGTATTGTAGTGGCACATTGAAACAAGACAATGTGTTTTATTACCTAACCAATAAGCACAAATTCCCCATGCAGAAGAGAAAATTCTACGCAGAAGCAATAAAAGATATAGAATTAGATATTGCAAAAGATGGAGGCACAGATGGCAATCCAAATGCTTTGGATGAAGAACATCCAGAGGAACAACGCGCACAAACGAAAGGAAACAAACGTAAACGGCAATCAAACGCGGGTAAAAAGTCATCGGACACACCGACAGCATCCAGCAAACGGATTAAACTACAAGATGCCAATCATAACCACGATGAGTCTCAAAACGAGAACACAAACAGCCAAAATATAGACACTGAAATTAATTTACCAATGACTGAAGAAACAAAGACTGAGGAAACTAATAATGATCCAGAACATGACAATGACAAGAATTTTCACCCTGATGGTGAAAAAATCGATGAGATTACCGAGGCAATACCTAAAAATGAACCAAAAACTATTGATAAACAAGAAACCGATGAAACAAAAGAAGAAATTAAAGAAAATCCGTATTATACTGGAGAAATCAACGTAAAAGATGTCAATTTGTTACCTGATATTTACCTGACTGCTATTACGACTTATGTAAATTTAATCTTTTTATATTTTTCATTATTATTAATAATTAATGTCTATTTTGTTTTGTAGGCTGAACGCGTGCAAGATAATAGTCATTTTTATAAAATCAACAAACCCGATGCAATATCACTGGACAACGCAGATGATTCCAGATTAAAAGTGCTTCCGATCAAAATCGGCGCTGATAATTACTGTGGCCTTATTTATCATCCTCAACCATTGGATATCTTCCGTTCGGAATATGACAGAGCAATAGCCGAAGCAAAATTAGTCCAAGAATTACTAGGTAATTAATATTTTCGCTTTCAGAATAAAAAATATATAAAATTATTGTTTTAGAGTTGAAAGCAGAGATAGAAGTTGGTAATTTAGACATTTCCGATCATCGCTTCATCAAAACACTCAACTGTGACGATGATTACGTTGTCAGTGAGACAAATTCATCCCTAGTTGCGTATAAAAAGTCTAAACTACAATGGCTGCAACGCGAGATGGAAGTTTTTAAATTATTAATCGAAATTAAGAAGTGTTTGGGCCTCAAAGAGGCAAAAACACAAGACGCATTAACCTACATGAAACAATTGTTAGATTCAACAATCGAAGCAATATCTTTGAAGAAGCGCTCGTTTTTTGTTGATACAATCGTCCGCCTCGGGAAATACGTTGGTAATATCAGGGAGTGGATGTTGGAGGATAAAGAAGTGGAGAAATTCGAAGAGGATGCGAGTAAAATACGTGAAACTGCTGATGAGATTCTAAAAAAAGTGAGGGGATTGTTTGAGTATGGAGAACCTGCTGATAAGTTTTTGGAAAACTTTGACAAGGATTGTGAGGTGTTTAATGAGGCTACAAAAGGTATGAGTGAGGCGGAAGTCTTCTCATTGTGTGCTGAACCTTGTAAGTTAAATAATTTTGAAATAATAACGATTGTTTTGATGTTAAATTAATTTCAGTGTCAAGAAAAGCTCAACTAGAGTTAATTTTTGATGAGCAGGCGTATGCAGAGGATGCAAACAATGCGGATGCGATGTACACACCCGACTGAACATTCAGACGCGTTGTTTCTTACTGTTATAGTATTTTTCTACGAGTATTCCACTAGTTTAACCCCCAAATGTTGATATATTTGTACCGTTAATATGTTTTATATCGAATTTTGCTACTGAGGAAAAATATAACCTTAAAAAACGTGCTGGGTTCGCTAAAATAACAAGTCGCAGGCGTTTTTAAAAAGGCAAAAATATTATATGAAAACCTTTCCTTCCAAAGGTTACAAGTTAGATCCGTGTGTACGTATTGGAAAAGTTAAAGCTATTACATCGAATATTTTCCCTTTATCATTTTTTTTGTTTGTTATATAGTAATGTTTTGGTTGGTTGTTTTTCTCCTCATCATGATAGGCAACACGCGATACACTTAGAAGTTAAGTTTAGTTAGTAATAATGCTAATGTACAATTTTGCTCAAGATTAATTTCTCTCTTTCCATCATCTTGTTGCCATGTTTTACACAAAGTTTAATAACATAATGATAATTAATCGTTCTTCAATCGCAATTGTTAACACAAACTGATCGGTTTCCTTCGTGCGTTAAATAGTTTTCTCATTTTTTTTATTATTTTTCTTTTGTTAATTTATACTTATGATTAATATATTTATATATATAACGAAGAACAAGAGGCGAAGAAACGTCAGAACTTAAATAATAAACATTAAAATTGGAAGTCTCCGACAGAGGGCGCTGGGTATTTGACAGATACAATGAAAAACATTTGAGTTGTAGGTATTTTTGTGCAAAAATCGTAACGTGGGGTTTGTTCATCTTGTTCATAATACACCCGAGGTTTTGGGGGGCGGCAGCGGCGGCGAGCGGAGGAGAGCGTTGCTAGCACCGTCATTGTTTTAGTTTCTGCGTGTGTCTCATCTTACTTAAAATACGCCTAATTTAGTTTGTTTTAGAAGTTTCAGTTGTAGCGTCACAAGGTTTTTTTTAGTTTAGTGTTAAATCTGAGGAAACATTTATGTACATTATTACACACGACAACACGATTACAACGAATATATGAATATGAAGCCACTTGGTAGTTTTACATTTACGACGCTCGCGTCATTGTGCAGCATTCATTACAAAATGGACAGATATACAAATGTATAATATAAATATATAGTGTAGAGTTATAACATGATAACTGCTCCCCGCACGCGCATGCGCCTCACCCCCAGCTAGCTAGACTCCACCATCTTTACCGCACGCATATTTTTCTTGTTTTTCTTTTCTAATAATTAGTATGTGGCACTTTGTAAAATACGTGTAACATTTAATGCGCTTTGCGGAACACTTGTGGTCGTATTCTCTGCGTTTGATAATAATTGATTGGATTTTTTTAAATGTTTTGCTTTTTTTTCAGTTACTTGCATTCGCGCATGCGCTCCACATACGTTTGTTGTTGTTGTTCGGGTAAATTGTGTGTGTGTGTAAGTGTTTGTGTGTGTTTTTAGTTTTACTTTTCAAAGAGAAATAAAGATAATATATATGTATATATAAAATATGCTTGGAAAAGCACTGCTCGGGTGTGTTGTGTGTATGGTGTGTGGTGTGCTCAGAAGAGGACGCACGCGCGCCTCTTCTTCTTCTTCACCTGCAGGGCGGCGCGCGTCGCCGTCTCAAACACCTCGCGCACGCCCTCCTTGCTCTTCGCCGAGCACTCGAGGTATGCGAACGCGTTGATCTTCTCGGCCATGGCGCGCCCGTCCTGCGGCTTGACCGGCTCCTGCTTCATCTTCGACAGCTCCTTGATGGTATTCGGATCATTACGCAGATCCTTCTTATTCCCAACGAGAATAATCGGCACGTTCGGGCAGAAGTGCTTCACTTCGGGCGTCCACTTCTCTGGAATATTCTCGAGGGAGTCGGGCGAGTCCACCGAGAAGCACATGAGGATGACGTCGGTGTCCGGATAGGACAACGGCCGCAGGCGGTCGTAGTCTTCTTGCCCGGCTGTATCCCATAGCGCTAGCTCGACTTGTTTGCTGTCCACCTCGATGTCGGCGACGTAGTTCTCGAACACGGTGGGCACGTACACCTCGGGGAACTGGTCCTTGCTGAAGACGATCAGCAGGCAGGTCTTACCGCACGCGCCGTCGCCCACAATCACCAGCTTTTTGCGGATTGTAGCCATCGGACCTGCGGGCACAGAGCAACGCGGAGAAAACAGTTACACACGACTCTCGAACTGGATTCAACAGATCGGCGGGCCACTCATGCAAATACCGAACGAGTGACGTTAGCGGCGATGCCAAGTACACACTCGCTCTCACATACACACACAACAAACACACACGCAGTAGACTGCGTTTCTCACGCACCCGAAACCACACGCTTGTTTTTTTGAGATTACCTATGCTTGATCAACGTTAATTAGAGCTTTTTATCGATGCGGCGGGTTTGTGAACTGCGCCAACACCCGGTATACTGCTGGTTGCGGCCCGCTTGCGAGCTATCTGACAACAGAGCAACGCAAAATGGCCGCTATCATGTCTCGTCGCCTCGTCCCACACGACCGCGACACGCTTGAATTGACGCTAGAAACTGATCTGCAAAAATAAAACCGGCACGTTTACGAAACCAACCGAGTATTATATGTAATGTAAACACCCACAATGCTTGGATTGGGTACAATCATCACCATCGGTGGCTTCAAACATGAAGGTTTTGTCGGTTGTGATAAATTCAAGTCGCGTTTATGAATGGACCAGCATGACAATACGAATGGCGCCCGAAGTTAAGGCGGGGATAGACGATTTGACGATGCACCAACACAGAAACAACCAATCATTCCGATATACACATATACAGAAACAAGACAGGAAATTCCAAGAAACGTTATCATTCATTCTTCCGAGAACTTGCTGTAAGGGTATTTCTAGTAGATGTATGCGTAATGATGCGCGTAATGAGCATGCTGGGCGTTGTCGACGGAATTTTTACGTGTAAACAATCGCAGTTTGCGCAGTATATAAAGGGCTGTTGGGCGCAGGGAGGCAGTGATGGTACAGTTGCATGTGTGTATGTCTTCTGACTCACCTTTATTCGTATCGCCGCCGTCGGACCAACAACAACTCAACATTCGTGGATGGATAGGGCCGTCGGTGAATTTCACTGATGCGTATTGCGCCGCGCAAATGTTTCTCGTGCATATATCGGAAAAATTCTAACGGAGAATGCAGAAAACGGACAGAAATAGAACTGACATAAACAAACCGTTCGCCCGTTTCGCTAAACTACGGTCGGGCTATGCTGCGCATGCGCATGGGATTGACGCAAGAGGAAATTTAAAACAGATTTAATATAATTAATGTTTGCAAAGCAGAAAACAATAAAAAGAAAACTTCATTTGAATATTATAGTTAAATTTCTTAAACAAATATTATATATTTAAGTTATTTAGTGTTATCTGGTGATAGTTTACGATTTAATCAAATATTTGACTTGAATGACATCAGGTACATAAACTTTAGTTCCAAAGTCGACCGCTAGAGTAGTACCCAACTATAACCACAGATTTCTACAATCCACCGCAAAACAAAACTTGAATATTTCTAGTTTATATTTTATTATTAAATAAAATGTTAAGTAGTGTTATTGTAACAAATCACATACGATGTTTGTCTACATCGAGTACTCTTCATGGCGTAGGTCGAATGATGAAGAAAATGATGACAAAACCCAGAAAACAAAAGTTTGTTTCCTTTTTTGTGTCTATTTATGAATTAATTTTTATAATTGTTTAGAAAATACATTGTTGAAGAGAAGCCCGTTTTATCAGCAGCCCAATCTTTGGGAGCAATCACAGGAGATGGCAAGAAGGCAGTCAACAGCAAAAGAATGAATGTGTTAAACAAACTGTTCATGAGACACATCACTGATTTAATGTCAACTGGAACTTATGCACATGCTTTTACAGGACATGGCATAGAAATTAACAGGGTATAATATATTTATACCATAATAGTATTAATAAAACTCAAAGAATCATTTGGATTGTTTTACAGGTCAAAGTATCAACAGATTTTCAGTTTGTCAAAGTTTACTGGCTTGCAAGATCTGATAAATTAGTAGAGAACATTGAAGATATTTTAAAATCACATGCTTTTGCACTGAGGCATGAATTAACACAATTGCATGTAGTGGGTATTGTGCCAAAGATAGAATTTGTTAAAGGTAAAAACATGAAATACTTGTTTTAAGAATAAAAACATTAATTTTATATTATTTTAAAGATAATCATTACACACTGCTAAAGTTATTAGATGACAAATTAGCACAAGCAGATTATGGTGAAGAACATGAACCTGTGGATCAAGCAAGTCGTTTAAAGAAAGAATTAGAACTTCAAACGAAATTGGAGTTCACTTTGCGTGAAAAAATCGAAAAACTTGACGAAATTAAACCATCGGATGAAACAGCTGAACAAGATATCAAACTAGATGCTCCAGAAATGCCACAAAACGTGCTGGGTTTAGACCGTGCTGATATAATGCAGCGTGTGATGAGAAACATTCAGAAATCACAAGGTTTACATCGAAAAACCAGCGAAAACTCGACAAATATTGGTTTATTAGCGAATGAAATCAATCAGGAACCGATTTCATACCCATCAATGCGTGTACAACGCGATGCATTCAGGGATTTCTTGAATAAACGCCTCACGATGCGACAGAAAATGCAGAAAGAAGATCGTAATGATCGCCCTGATTTAGATTATTTCGAAGAAGAGTGGAGAAACAAGCGAGAGAATGAGTTGAAAAAGTATGACTTTTATGAATATTTAGCTGATGAGAAAGATTATATTGAAGAAAACGATGAGATAAATGAAAAATAGATATTAGAATGCTTAAATTGTGTAAATCACGCAGTCATAACCATAATTGAATCATAACCTCAATTCACATAGGGAACTACAACATTTCTACGTCGAATTTTCGCTAAAATATCACTGTAGGAAACTGTAGTTGACTGAATATCATCAAGTTGGGTCGTATTTGAGTTTTCTTCGACTTCTACTTGCATATTTTGTCTAATCCAAGGATTAATGCACATGTAGTAAATAACTTCGATGATTGTAATGATACTAGCGCCGAAAAACAGTGATCCAATGCCACCAACATTAACTATAAATATTTATATAGATTTTAGTGAATTTTATGAAAATTTTATTGAAGTTTATGTTTCTTACCGATCAAATCGACCAAATCACGCATCACACGTCGATAATATCGCATCTTTGACGGGTAGAAATGAAAATTAAGAATTGTTTCGTATTCGTTTGAATCCAGTTCAGCAGATGAATTAGATGTTGATTTACCAACGTAGGTAATCACATTTTCCACGCAAGAAATCATGCAGTTACTGTTTGCAGCTCCGATTAGTATTTCTCGGTTGTTTTTAACAAGGCAATGGATTTGATCTAGGTTGGAGCAGAACTTAGCAGCATCTGCGCGTGCTGGTAAAAAGTATTGTGTGCAGTTGCATATTTCTAACTGCAGTCGAGCCATGTTTTCAACAATACATGCGGTGTAGCTGTATACACGAGACATGCGCAGTATGTTTTCCTCTGGAAATCGGCATTTGCGGATGTTCAGCGGGATACTACGCATGTTTTTATCATTGATAGTATTCTAAATAGGTTAGGATACAGAATAATTAAAAGAAAAATGTTAGGTTATTTTTTTTACCTTGAACTTGATGTAAACATCTCCGGTTTGAAATGAGCCTATAAACGGAGTTTCAAACACTTTTGATTGGCTGTACGCTATGTTTTCTTCACGACTGATGACAAAAGTGTGAATCCATTCACTGTCGACTTTAAAATGGACGCTCAACGTTAACATTTCAGAAGATTTCGCTGTCAAAACAAACGGTGTGCTTCTACAATCAAGAAATAATTTCAATTGTTTATTGTTTTGTTTTGTTGTTTGTTTTGTTTAAAATAACTTACTTGGTGGTCATGGAATTGATAGCGTAGCACCGGCCATAAATCGTTTGCATTGGTTGAAAGTGAGAACAACAATTAAACTCTACGTTCTTCCAGTAACATTTCCTCATTATATCTGTGCATGTATAACGCAGATTATTGAAGCGTGTGACGTTGGTGCGCATTGTATTACATGCTTTTTTCAATATTTGCCATTCTTGTACTTCGTTTGGGTCTGTGGGAGTTGTTTGCAGCCATTTTTCTTTCTTGAAACAATCCATTGTCAAAGACATACCAGGTTCAAAATACATGAATTCTTTTGCAAATGGAAAAAATGATGTTTCAGTGAGGTCCGATTCTGGTGGGATGAATTGTGGGAAGTCTACATATGAGGTTATGTTGCGTGGTCTCTCGCAGAAAACCACGGCTGGGAGATCATTTGTCCATCCAAGATACATGGTATCCACTGAGAGATTGATTGAGTTTGTTAGGTTGGCGTAGAGTGAACGCCACATTAACATTATTCCATATCCCTAAATTTTAAATTTATATATTTAAATATTTTTGTTTTGGAGAAGTTTAAAACTTACCGAAACAATAGTGATACAAACAAACCAGAATATACGCTCGGTCCAGTGCAGATTAGATGCAGCAAGATAATGATAACATTGAAAAGTTGTGTTTTTGAAAAAATCTCGCACTGAGTGCAGACATTTTGAACAAAACATTTTCCTGGTGGGAAAACAACTACACTGCGAGTGTTTTTATATATCGTTTTAAAAACACATTTTATAGTAATATAAATATTATATTATATTGTACATGTATAACATGAACAAGAAATAATAAATTATAAATATGCATTGATTTTTTTGAAAGTGGAAAATATACGCAACACAAAACTAACCTAACCTAAAATTTAAAGAATCATATACAGGGCCTGTAAAAACACAATGTTTACAAATATTTAGTGATTGCATTGATAAATACATAGTTCAACATGAGTAACATCTATATTTTAGAGCCTCCGACGTCAGGAAAGGTAATTTTATTCATAATTTAACATATTTCTTTTATAATTTACCCTAAAACACCTTTTAGGTCCTGTTGAAAACCACTGTGGGTGATATAGACATTGAATTGTGGTCAAAAGAAGCCCCAAAGACATGCAGGAACTTTATCCAGCTATGCATGGAAGGATATTACAATGGATTGATATTCCACAGAGTTGTAAAGGGTTTTATAGCCCAAGGAGGTTGTCCAAATGGGGATGGCACTGGTGGTGACTCAATCTATGGAGGCACATTTGAAGATGAATTCCACCAGAGGCTTAGATTCACCAGAGAGGTCTGCTTGCTATGGCAAATGCTGGGAAGAATGATAATGCTTCACAGTTTTTCTTCACACTTGGAGCAACTCCAGAACTTAACAACAAACACACCATTTTTGGCAAAGTTGGTGGAGATACAATTTTCAACATGTTGAAACTAGAGGAAGGATTTATCAAGAATGAAAGGCCAGAATATCCTCATAAAATCATCAAAGCTGAAGTGTTGAATAATCCTTTCCCTGATATTGAACCTCAGAGTGAAAGAATGTGCATTAAAAGAACCAAAAAAGAAGAAAGAGAAGAGACAAGGTGTGAAAAACTTTAAGTTATTGTCTTTTGGAACTGAAGCTGAAGAAGACGAGGAAGAAAATGCAAGGGAAAACGAGAGATACGCAGGGAAAGGAAAATCTACACATGATGTTCTAGGTAAAATAGTTTTTATGCATATTTAACAAAATATTCAATATTTTTATGATGTAGATGATCCGAAATTAAGTTCACAATCAATCGTTGATGAATCAGTGGATAACAAACCCGAAATCAATGAAGATTCATCAGATAATGAACATTCTGAAGATTCTGACAACCCTGAAGCTACAGAACAAAGATTACAGGCGATTCGAAACAAACTCAAAGCTGGCAGCAGCAAAACCAAATCAACTAACAAAAAAATAGAGAAAAAGAAGATCGTAGCAGATGATGACGATGTTTACCCAGAGGAAGATGAACATGTACAGCACAAGAAACGAAAATAGTAAGTAAAATCACAAATTATTGTTAAACAAACAATAAACATGTAAATTTTCTTTAGTGAAGAAATCCAGAAGCAGATTGAGTCCGTAAAACGTGAATATCATCAAAATAAACTCAAACGCACTGAAGAAAAGGAAGAAGAAGAGAAAAAAGAAGCTCACAAAGAGCAGTTTAAAGAATATAAAGACACACATAACCTATACAAAGAAAAATCAAAAGATCTGCCTAAAAAAGGATCACAACGTGAAGATTTCACGCTAAGTTTGTTGAATAAATTTAAAAACAAACTCAACAAAGCTAAGGAACAAGATGAAGAAGAACAGAGTAATGATCAAGCATCTAAAACAGATGTAGATGTTGATATAGATGATGAAAAGACTTGGCTTGCGCACAAGTTGAGATTTGTTTCAGATACACCAGTGCTAGCAAAGGATGCAAGCACAAAAGACGATGATTGGTTCGAGATCTACGATCCACGCAACCCGCTTAACAAGCGGCGACGCGGTGAGAAAACACACAAAAAGAAATAAGAAAATTAAACTCTTAATATAAAAACAAAAAAGATAATAAAATGTCTTCTTGAATCAAAGTAACTTGATTAATACTAAGTCATGGTCGCTTTTTTCATCAGATCTCCGGTTCGTTGATATTTCTGTTGCGTTGTGGAATTGTATTCTCTCTATCTCTATCAAAGAACATTCCATTGCGTTCGATGACATAAGAATTGGAGTTGAAGATATGCGGCTGCATCGTGCACAGTCTCACGGCGGTTCTGATCTGCGCATTCGTTAGGTCATCCAAGTTGTTTGTGATTTTTCCGCGTTCATTGAACACCGCTAGGATTTTTCCGCCTTTCGTATATGAATTACACTCGAAATATATCGTTTTATTCTTCAATGTGTCTATTGTGGCTGGAATAGCTAAATGAAAACGAGTAAATTGCATTGTTTTGTTTGATTTATCGAGTTTTTACCTTTTGATTCTTCCGCATTTGACTGGACAGCTCTGTTTGATGGGCCTGCAGCCAGATCTGCATATAGTGGCACGTAGGAAGATGATAGTGTTGGGTATATATCTGTAATTGAAAAATGTAATTATTACCCAATCATAATCTGGATACTAAAATGTATAAAAAATTTAGAGTCCGACCGAAACTGGATTTTAGTCGAAACCGAAAATATTTTTCTACTTTTACCAACACATCGCCAGTTTTTCCACATTTTTTACACACAAAATCCATTTTGGGAGTAAAGTCCCCGTTTAGTCACTTGATACTTAATATAATATTAATTTAAACTTCTATGAGCGAATTGAGATGGAAAGTAACGACCGCCATTTGCCGCGAAGTTAGCCGAGCGACGCACGACAATTCACGAAAGGTGAGTTTCGATGCGGCCGAAACCGAAACCAAAATTTCGGTCGGTCTCTAAAAAAATGTACTCACTATCTTTTTCTTTCTCGTATTCCTCCCAGGCTAGCTTCATCTCAATCTCATCCAGCTCTTCATCCGGTAAATTTTCCAACATGGCGTTGTGATCATGATAAGTATAAATACATTGATGTTTGGTAAGTACACTACCCAAGAGCGTATCGCTCGGTGGTTTGGGCAAACGCCGTTCGCCTGATTTATCCAGATCACAACGATACATGGCTGCCAACTGCGATGCTTGAAAATGGCGCATAATGTGTTTTCGTCAATGACGCGGCTGGCAATCGCCTGCTTCGTGATGGATCTTTCATAAATAACTTCTTCGGTAGTACCCATTGCAATCAAGCGATAAACATAACATGTTTTCAACTGTCCCAGGCGGTAAATGCGAAACAAACTCTGCGTATCATCCGCTGGATTCCAGGAGATATTCATGAGAATCGCACGGTTTGCTGCGAATAAATTCAAACCCAATCCGCCTACCCTCTGTGTGAGTAACATTAAATTAAGTCCACTGGTTGGATTGTTGAATTGTTTACAATATCTCGCTCGATGGTTAACATCGACGAAGCCGTCAATGCGCACGTAGCTTCTACCACGCACCCAGGTGGGATCCATGCCAAGGAACTTTTCAATCAGATCTAATTCAAGCAGCGAAACACTGAAAACCAGGATTTTTTCATTACGCGCCATTGTTTCTTTTATAATCGACATCATGACTTGTAACTTGGGCCCGTAATTGATATTTGTTGCTGCATCTTCCGGTAATTTAAACCAGTCACCTTTAATGACCTCAGGGATTATGATTTCTTCATCGCCCGCACCCACAGCTACAGGTTTCTTCTTATATTTGTTTTTTTCCAACTAAAATAAGACCGTATTATACAATGTATTAAAATAATGTAAATGAAGATTACTCACAGCCATTGCTTGCATTTGTAGCAAATATGGATGAGAGAATATGCCGCGAAGCACCGCAACATTCGAAAACAGGTTAGTAAAGTTGCATATCTTCAAAAACTCTCGAATCAATTCAATCTGCTTGTCAGTCATCTCAATCTTGATTGCGTAGTCTAATTTGGTTGGCAGGTACGGTAATAATTCTTTCTCTTCATACCGCTGAATAAAATGCCGCGTCATCTTGTGTAAAACATGGCTACGTTTTTTCATTAACTTAATATCATGCGGTTCTGAATTCACGAACTGGCCATTTTGAATTGGATTCACAAATCGATTGCGATATTCACGCTCGGTGCCGAAGAAGTTCGGCTTGACCAGCCCTACAATACAAAAGTAATCATCTAAATGATTTTGCATTGGTGTTCCAGTGAGGATGATTCTTCGTTTGGTGGCCACCATGCCAATGGCGATCGTACGACGTGCTGTTGGCTTCTTAAGTAGATGACCCTCATCACACACGACTAAATCTGCACCCGGATCGAGCAGCCATTTGTCAATTGCGCGCTCATCGCGTTTCACCAACGCCATGAATGAATCATAACTGATGATAAGCACGCCACCAACGATGTGCCATCTATGTACAGTGCTGATTTTAACTGTTGTGCTGTCCCTTGCAGTGCCGCCGAGGAAAATGTTAATTTCTTGCGGCTCAGCGATGAGTTTCGCTGCTTCCTCGAATTCTCGCTGCCAATTCTCAACGATTGACAGTGGAGATAGAATCAGCACGCGTTTTAGATCCGTTACAGGGTGACTAAACAATGTATGAACAAAAGTCACCACCTAAAACATATCAGAATAAGTTGATTTCATGTAAATTTTCGATTATATACCTGAAATGTTTTGCCAAGACCCATACAATGCGCTAAAATGCATCCGGAACCCTCGTCGCCATTTTGTAAACGTTGAACACTCTCATAACAATTGTCCCATAAAAACTGTACACCTTTACGTTGATGTGCGAGGAGTTTCCCGGCTAGTTTTGGATGTACAGTCACGTGTAAATTATCATCTTCATTTGAATTTAATACAAAATCGTCCTTTTGTGGTTTTGACTGGGCGTTTTTCATTAAACGTTCAACACGTTCGCGTTCCAACTCCTGTACCTTTTTCGTTTCCTTGCTGAGCTCTGCTTCAGTGAGAATCTTTTTAATGTTTCGTCTGCCTTTGATTGTACTATCGCCTTCAGCTGGCGGCGTCTGTTGATGCATTGAAGACACAAATTCAACATCCGAAGATGAATCACTGTCATTTATGTACACTGGTTTATTACTTTTGTTGTCTTCTTCAGAAGAAGTGCTTAAACATGGCTTTTCATTATAATCTTCTTTTACATCCTCCATTTTGTCCTCCGTATTATCTTCTTCGTCGGTACTTAATTCATACATTTTAAACATCATAGGCTTGAGTAGTGGATCATTCATCCAGGTAGCCCTTCGAGATGTCCTTTCTGGTTTCATTTTGTTATACTTAGGCTTCCCTTTTAACTCCTGTGTATCTACATCAGAATATACATCATCAAGGCAAACACAACTGCTGGAGTCTGAATCACTACAATCTGGAATTTGATCTAAAACATTCTGTATGTTTTCATCGCTGCTTTGGGTATTACTGGATTGAGTCTCTGAATTATCGTCTGAATGATAAGAGTGAATGCTGTCGGTCTTGGAAGTTGGTGATAAAGATGACGTAGTTGTCGAAATTGATTTAATTCGTCTCCTTTTTTTCTTTTTTATTCCTAGCAGCTCAGTTAAACCACTGCTGATTGATTCACTGCATGAAGTGCTGCTATCTTCTGATGTTGATACAACTTTTCTTTTTTTACTAAAATAATCATAAGGTAGTTAAATATTAGTTGGTTTAGGAAAAGTTCTTAATAATACCTTGAGTATTCATCAGTCAATAATTTTTCTTTCATGGGAATCCTCACATACAACTCATCATCCTGCACATAATATTTATTGATGTAGTGTTTCTTCGCCTGATCATCAGTGTATGATATTCGAATAACACTGGATTTGGGAATGATGGGAGTACCAGGGCGTGATATATTCAAACTGATATCACAACTCGATAGGGAATCATTGTCTGGAATCTCATCTAGAACAGCAATATTCATTTGTTCAGTCATTTTGTCTTTGGTTGATTTTGAAGGTGAAGGTGATGAATCCTTGATTGTACAAGCATTCCCATTTAAATTCATGTTTACTGTACTGCCATTTTGTTTTTTCTCGATTGATAAACCATTTTCATCTTGTTCAGAAGATGTATTTATCTCTAACAAGTTTTTCATTTCTTGTAGTCGACTTGCTGGAATCTCAATCAACCATTCATCATCTGTCGATGATAAATCTGGTTCAATCATATGGATGCACTCATCAATATCATTCATATTATCCTGGTTTTGTTTGTTTCTATATGAATCTATGAACTTTTTATTCAGTTCACCCAATTCATGCTCCAAGAACAAGAAATGTTCCTTCCAATGTGTCCTCCAGACTTCATCAAGTGATTGTATATGAAGTATTGCTTCTTCAGGTGTATTGAAGAATGGCTCAATCTGTCCTTCGAAAGACTGTAGCATATATTTACAAACATGGATGGCATTATTTTTGAATGTAAGCAGGTCCATACTGATATGGAAAAGATCTTTTACATCTTCTGGGTTTGTGATTTTAGTAGTTTTAGTAGATGCATCTGCTATGAGAGATGTTGTGCTTGCTGATCGCTGTAGTGTTTTGTTATTGTGGCTATAAAATTCCACATCTTTCAAATACCTGAAAATACTTATTTTGGTTAGTTCAAGTTGGTAGAATAATGTAAAAAACATACCGTTCTCGTAGGTAATCACCCATTGTTGTTTAGTTAATCATTAATAACACTCAGCAATAACATACACTACATACTTCATGAGACTGTACAGCTATATTGAACAAACCATAACCAAAACACGCCAATAAAAGCGGGTTTTCCCCGCCAACGGTTCGCAATTTTAAAAAATGTATCAAAAACGCTGATCTGTTACAATTCACACACAGGAAGTCAAAGTAAGCATGCCGTTTATTTATTTAAAAAATATATAACTTCACATCTTTCCTATCAATCAGCACATATTAAGAAATATTAAGATTTGTTAACTGTTCTGCCCACAGCCGAAACTCCATCGATAAATTTTGTCCGGAATAAAACATTGGCGTTGCTAAACATACCATCTTTCAATGACACAACCACAAACTGAAACAAATTAAACACAGAATTTGTTTATCTTCAATAATTAACAAAATAAAACAATATTTATTTACCTGTGATTGTTTAAAATGGTTCTTTAGCATTGTACCAATATTCTGCGTGTGTGACAAATCCAACGCCGCATCCACCTCGTCCAAAATATACAACGGCGCCGGTTTAAACAATAACATCGCTAGAATCAACGATAACGCCGCTAGAGATCTCTGCCCACCGCTCAACTCAGTCAGATTCTCTTTCCAAATCCCACCGAGACTCACTTTAATCTCTAATCCTTCAACAATCGTCATATTCTTAGGCGGTGCAAGAGTTGCATTTGCGCCTGGTAATAACGTTGTAAAAATAGATCCGAAATCTTTCTTTACTTGATTATACGCTAACTGAACAGCTTGTTTCTTTTTCTCGTCTAAATCACGCAGCATTTGTGTGAGTTTTATCTGATCTGTTTCGATAATATGCTTACGCTTCAACAACGACGTGTGTTGTTTCTCCTCATGGTCAAACATCATCTGTGCATTTACGTTGATATTCCGGCCGAGTTTCGTGCGACTTTCTTCCTTGGCCACGATACGTGCTTGTAAATTAGCACCATCTTTATCAGACATCTTTGAAGCATCTTTCATGATGTTATTATCGATTTGTTTTGCGCGTTTCTCACAATCACTCTCACGGGTTTTCGCTTTTTTGTGCTCATCACGATGTTTTTGCACAGAATGTTCAAGTTTTTGAATTTCTAGATTGAAATCATTGATTTGTGATGATAGTTTTTCTTTCTGGTCGGTTTTTTTGCTCATTTCACGATTTTTTGAAGCAATTGCAGCTTTTTCAGTCTTTAATTGTGCTTGCAATTGACATAACTCTTCTTTATGTTCGACAAAATTGTTTTCTAACGTGTCTGCTTCATGTTTTAACCTTTCAATTTCATTCTCGGTTGTTTGTATATCATTTTGTAGTGTTTCTAATGAACCAGTTAATTCTTTTATTTCTAATTTAAGTGTTTCATACTCTGCTTCGCGTTTCTGCCACTCTTTCTTCGACTTTTCCGCTTTGTTCTTCGCCTGTAACATTTCATTCTCTGCGGATTTCAACATGCGTTCACGATGCCCATCCGCATCTTTTAAATTCGCTTCAATAGATTTAATCTTAACCAATGCTTCTTTCTCTGATTTCTTCGCATTGTTAATCGTTTGTGTCAATTCAGAAATTTTTGTTTTAAATTCTCAACTTCTTGTACATTCTGATGATAACTAGTGTCTTTCAATAACATCTCCATGTTAACCAACTCAGCTTTCTTGATATCCAACCGATGTTGAATATTCTGAAACTGTTCCTGATTTTGTAACTTCAGTCGTAGTTCGGTGGTGAGTTTTTGAAGCTCAGCGTCGCCATTTTGTAACGCGCGTTCACTTTCGACAATTTCACGAATTTGCAACAAAACCGGTGCGGATTTCTGCCGCGCGCCACCGCTTAATGTTCCACTTGGATCTGTGACATCTCCATCAAGAGTTACACACTTACGTCTGATTTTATCATGGAATGTCACCTTCTTAGCAATATCCAGGTCTTTACAGATGAAAACCTGACCGAAAATAAACTCCATCGCTACTTGTAAATGTGGAGAATATTCAATCAAGTCCATTGCAGGGATAATATTCTCTTTACCAACTAAATCCTGTGCTAATTTAACAACATTTGCTGGTATCTTTGCTCCTTTGATCTTATTCAACGGTAGAAATGTTGTGCGTTGTTGGAGTTGTCCATAGGTTAAAATCTGTTTGCTTACTTGTTCGTTTTTACACACAACATTGTATAATTTACCACCTGCGGCTGTTTCCAGTGCAGTGCAGTATTTCGTGTCTTTGATTTTGATTAAACGACACACAATGCCGTCGACTTTACGTCGATCAAAGTCTGGAGTTGGGTCGCGGTAGTTAAACTTGGTGAATGGTCGTCGTGCTTCGAAATCTTCGACTTTGTCGCGATGAGATTGTAAATCTCGTGATAATTGTTGGTGTTTTTGTTTTAAAGTTGCTACCATTTCTTCGTTGTAATTGAGGCGTGCTGCTTGGGTTTCTAGTTTGTGTATTTCAGCTTTGTTGTGTTCGCAGTTTGCTTTTGCTGTTTGATAATCTGCACCGGCAGTGCCAATTTGCGCTTGTTTTGTTTTTACGTCTTTTTCGTATTGGGCAAGGTGCATGTTAGTGGTTTTTATTTCAGTATTCTTCGCAGCTGCCTCCTCCTTCATTGCTATTTAATAAAACATTTAATAACCTAATAATTAAAAAGATAAATAATAAAAAGTAATTTATTACCGATTAATTGTTCTTGCAGTGATTGTGCTTCACCAGATTCGTTGATTTCCATACCAGCACAAATTGCTTCATATTTCTTTTGTGCTTGGTTGTATGCTTCATTGTCTTTCTCATCATTTTGTTTTAAACTTTCAAACAAGTCATTCACTTTTGATAGTTCATGTTGTTTGTTTTCTAATAACATTCCATCGTCTTTGATGTTTTTATGAATATCTTTCAACTTCTTCTCTTCGTTTTTGATTGAATCCTTGACTGCTTTAATCGAAACCGTGCTTTTTGTGTTGAATTTCTCTTTTTCTTTAACTTGAGCTTCTAACGCCGCTAATTGTCCACCGGAATTCTTAAAAACACAATTAAATAATAAATAAACCATGAATTTTTAAAGGAAAAATAGAATATGTTACCTCATCAGCATCTTTTGACATTCGGCATAATTCTTCAGTGATTTCTTCAATAGTTTTCTCATTGTGGGTGATATTATCCTGAATTTGTTGAATTTCCCTTTCTGATGACTGTACCATTTTAAGAGTGTGTTCAGAATATCTCTGAGATGCATAATATAAGTAAGCATCATACATTTTCTTCAAAGTAATTAATTCTCTCTCAATATTAGTATAATTAATGTATGATTCTCTTTCATTCCGCAATTTTTCTAATCTTGGTGATATTTCTTCATTTATAATACTATTTAATTCATCCATTTTAGCAGTTTTCTTCTCCATGGTCCTCAAAGTTGCTTGTTTTTTAGACTCGTACATTCTGGTACCTGCAGCCTCCTCCAGCATGGCCAAAATCTCTCCTGGTTTCATATTCAACACTTTTGTAACTCTGCCTTGCATTATAATGAAATGTGGATTGTTCACATTCATTTGGACAGAACAGAACAAATCAGCCACTTTTTTATTGGGTACAATACAACTATTGATCCAATACTTGTTCTTGCCACCAATTACCACTTGTCTAGTGATTGTTATTTCTTGAAAGTTTTCATAACCTGGCGGTGAAGCATCTTTGTCTCTATTATCAAAGATTAAAGTTACTGTGGCACTATTTATGCCAGCCTGACCATTCTTAAAGATGAGTTCTTGCAGAGAACTTACACGTACCTATAAAATATTAATTAGAATGATGATTATTCAATTATTTTGTTATAATTTACATGAGATAAATTTGAAATTCCGAGGACGAAACAAATAGCGTCGAGAATATTCGATTTGCCAGTGCCGTTGAGGCCTGTAATTGCATTGAATGTTGCGTCGAATCCATCGATCTCCACTCGTTTACCATACGACTTGAAGCCGTCGATATGTACGGATTTAAGATACATTTTCCGCTGATTTCCACTCGCACGTAGGATGCAGATTTGGTTTAACGGTTGGCGCGCATTTGCAGGTTATAGCATGACAGAAATTCAAACGGTTGCAAACAAACAATTCAAACAAGTGACTGCGCATGCGCAGATAGTGCCACCACTGCTGTTTTTAGATAGAGATTTTAACTTTCTCAAACGGAAAGTTATCGGTTGTATTGTAGAGCTCAGCATTTAGTTGTGTTGCACTTGTTTAATAGTGAAGCGACAACATATGTTGCACTATTATAGTTAATAATTGTAATTATTAAAAGATGTGGTGATTTGTGGGCTACAAGAACATTTATTCCGTTGTTAAACCAGTAAAATCTTCAAGAATTAACAAGGTTAGTTTTTTTTATTTTATACTTATATATTTGGCATTCTTTTGTGATTTTTTTTGTAATTACAAGAAGATAAAATGATTTACCTTTCACAACGCATGTTTTCTTGATTTTTCTTAACCTCTGCTTGCAACACAAACGCTTGACCAATCACAAGCAAGCACATCTCTCCCCACCACTTTTTGTGGGTATCCCGCAGGTTTAAAACGGCGCTTTGTGTCAATAAATACTTTCTTTTATTCTTTGCTTAAACTTTCAAATCACATTTCGCTATAAATATATCAATCTGTCTTTGGCACGCATTTTCATAATCGAAATACAGAAACACAGATAGGTTACAGGTACATTAAGCATAGTTGTACTTCTAGTAGCATGATTAACCCATAAACACAAGCGGATAAGGATTGACATCTTCCTGCATATTATGACAGGGCGTAGGTGGTCTAGGGTCCGGTTCAGTTGTCTCCAACAACCAATACGTAGTAAACAACCCTTTACCTTTAAGTTCAACCTCACCTCGCAATTCCAGATTAAAAGTCCCGAAAAATTCAAGGATCTTCTTGGTGGTTTCACTCAAATGTATCTTCAAAGCTAAAATTCAACCCAATATAATCCCAAAACCTTTTATGGTCCTAAAAATTAATACTTACGTAATCCAGTGCTTTCCATTCGACTCGCCGTGTTGACCGTATCCCCAAAAAGACAAAAATGTGGCATTTTCTGCCCCACGATACCCGCACACACAGGACCCGAATGAATCCCTATCCTCAGCTTCAGTTTATAATCAGGTTGATGCTTGATCACGAAAGATTGCACGGCTTTCAATATCGCCAGGGACATCAAAGCAATTTCTCTTGCATGGTCATTCCCATTGCGTTCCGGAAGACCGGAAACCACCATATATGCATCCCCAATAGTCTCCACTTTATAAACATCATAAAACCCAATGATCCGATCAAAGGTACTGTAGAGATCATTCAAAAAGTCCACAACCTGCATTGGGGAACTATGAGCACACAACGCAGTGAAACCCACAATATCACTGAAGTAAATGGTCACACATTCAAACTGCTCAGGTTGGACTATTTCCCCAGCCATCAGTTGACATGCAACTGGTCTTGGTAACACTTGATAGAGGAGTTCCTCAGATCTGCGTTTCTCTTGACTGAGTTGTTCTGTTTTCTCACCGACAAGACTCTCAAGGTTGTTGGCATATTGTTCCATACGTCGGAGTAAATCATCCATGAGGTTCTCACAGTACCCTTTCATGATACACTTTAGTACACCTCGAATTACTTCAAAGGAAGGTCTTTCATCGGGGTTATCCAACCAGCATCTCTCCATGAGTTCTAGTAAATCATCAGGGCAGTCACGTAGATTGACCATGGGTCTAAACGGAGGGAATTCCCTTGCTGCTATTCGGGATAGGATTTCTGAGACTTCTAAATACTGACGCGCAGCGTGGAATGGTCCTGTTCTTAGGATAATCTCTTCCAGAATCAGGGCAAAGGAATAGACATCTCCCTTTTGGGTTGCGGGTGTTCCTGGGATGACTGTTAAGGGTAATAGTTCAGGGGCGATCCATAATAATTCTAAAAAGGTTTTTGAGGGGTTTTAATGTTTTTGAGGTTTTTACTTACTCATTTGATAATTCTGGTCTTTTACTATTTCGTTTGGTGTTGTAAGGGTAGTCAGACCAAAATCACTTATCTTGAGTACAAAACGGCCATCAATAAGACAATTACACGATCGTAGTTTACCATGAACGGATACTTCACTGCCGTGCAGGAAACTCATTCCCTGTGAATAGGACTACTTTAATAAGTATTTACTAATGACCCACTTTACTTTATTTACCTTAACCACATCGTGTATGAGGGACATCCGGAAATTCCAATCTAGTTGGATTGCATCATTTTGTAACACATCCCTGAGTGATCCCTTGGGGCAATATTCAGTTAGTATTAGCACTGTGGGACATTCTATGCATGCTCCAAGGAAACGCACTGTGTTTTCATGGGTTACATCACGGACCTAAATAATTATCATTAGTTCTTTTGTATTAACATTAAAAATACAATTTGACTACCTGTTTGATTTCCCAGAGGAGTTTCTTGTTCACATCGACCTTCTTTTTAGTGATTTTCTTGATTGCTACACGTGTGCCTTTATAAATTCCTATCGTGGTGAATATCTGTGTTGGGGGTAGTGAATTACAGGAGGTGATTGATGCGCGTCCACTACGCAACCCAAAAGTCTACAAAATATAAATTATTTAGTTATAAATATTAAATTTTATTAATGATAAATACTTCTGTTAGTTTTTGTAGGCCTAGTTTTGATCCATAGGGTTTTCCTACTTCTAAAAGCACTTCCTCGGGTTTGATCCGCCATGACATGTTGTTGAGATCAGCTACGTGTCTCAAATGTCTGGAAAATGAAAGAAAAATTAGGGGACACCCGGGTTTGAACCGGGGACCTCTCGATCTGCAGTCGAATGCTCTACCACTGAGCTATATCCCCACTTGAATAGACCTTGTCTAGATCAATACTTCTATACTTTACTTACTTGTATGATATACAAGCCAATGTTGCTGTTAGGACCATAAATGCTCCGAAAGCGAAGGATCCATAGAGAATCATCACATAGGAGTCTAGAAATCAAATTATTTTGTCATTAACCTTAGAAAATTTTTAAAATTTAAAAATTTAAGGTTTTGTATTACCATCATTACGACAATCAGGGTTATTCCCCAAGAACCCACATTTGGGTACATCTGGAGGTGGTCCTTCACGTCCCCCAGGCCAATGGATGTTCTGCCCTTGTACCGGGGAGTATTCCTTATGCAAACCGTAATAATGCGCGACCACTTCGAATTTCCCAGTGATGGGATCCAGATCCAACACAGAATAATCTGCATCTCGGTCTCCATTGTCATCAATCCTCACATGACCTGTTATACCTTTGAATTGTCTATTCCACATCTTTTTGGTGATTCTAAAACCATCCCGAATGCGTTCATTGAGGGTTTCATTGAATTTACGTTGGTTCTGATCAATTTTAAGAAGTTCCGTGATGGTTTCATTGATGGTTTCATTCAGGGCCATGCCTAGGAGGTAGACACCATCATAGAATGCTCCACTAACAAAATTCACTTCTTCTCCTTCATGTCTCATGCTATAGTTGTAGTCGTTTAAAGCTCTGGTTTTTACTTTATCAGCAAAGTCTTGGAATTGATCATCTGTTGGTTGGAGTAAGGATACTCTCAATAGGGCTTCATATGCTTTACGTGCGGTTGCATCTTGACCATCTCCAACTTCCCAGTCGTGGTCTGTCCAGTATTTTCCTTTGAATATTTCTACGTCCAGAAAAGCCCAGTCACCGCGGGTCATGCCTAGTTCATGAGCGGCGAGCATGAATTTACGCACGAGGACTCCCCGGACGCTTAGGATAACAACTATTGGATCAATATTTATAAATTTTAGTTGTAATATTGATTTTTGTGAATTGACATACTTCTCGCGTACATACTGGCGTCTCTTAGGTAATTATCATAACTTTCGTCGTCGTTTCCGTCTAATTCACGTACGAATGCGAGGAGTCCGTCTTGTTTGAGGCCGTATTCCAGGTTTTTCCCTGTTGGAGTAATGAGAGTTAATCCGCAAGTCCTGATGTTTGTTACACTTTCACGCAAAAACTACTTAACCGATCATCATGAAAATGTGTACACATATTCTTAGTGGTCCTCGAATGGTTATAGGCTACTTTCTATTTATCAAAGAAATAAAATAAAATTGAATTCACTTTATTAAGTTATTATTTATTTTTTGCTAGAAAAATGAGTTTATATTGAAATTACATTAGTTTGCTATGAGGGTAGTCTACAGTATAGTACTATACCTATTGCTCCTTCACTGTTTGCACAAACCTACTGATATACACAACTCAACTAATAAAATGATTATTTTCAAATTTTAAAAAGTAAATCAAATAAAAAGCTTTTAAAAAAAATATTTTTCAAAGATTTTCGGAGATTTTCGAACAATTTTAAAGGAAATTAAAGATTTTAAGTAAGTTTACGTTTTCAACGGATAAAAAAATTATTTTCTATTTTATTAGAATAAATCAAAGATAATTATCAAGGAAAAGTTTTTTAAATATTATTTTATCGGTTTTTATTGTAAAATTTCAACAATTTCTGCATTTTTTCTTTAAAATTTTAAATTTATTCATAAAATATTCGCATAATCTTACGTGAAAATGTTTTTTTTCTATATTTTCTATATATTCTTTTCAGAATATCCCTACTAATTTTATAAATGCGAAAGTCCTGATGTTTGTTACACTTTCACGCAAAAACTGCTAAACCGATCATCATGAAAATTTGTACACATATTCTAAGTGGTCCCCGAATGGTTATAGGCTACTTTTTATTTAATAAAAAAAATTATTTTTAAAATAAAATAAAGAAATTGTTTAGCCAATAATACCTCTGCATCTGGCTATTTGACTACTTTAACGCCATCTAGCATTCCAGCAATGAAGCTCAAACCTAAGTACTATAGTACCATCACACTGTATTATCACACTGTATTACCGACAGCTACGTCAACATCAAATCCAATTGACTACACTATGGAGACTGTACACTATACTTCCATAGACTATACTTTCAGCCATTTTAAACTTCCCGCCATTCTACTTCATTGTTACTTCTTCTGTGACTACAGACACGTACGGAAACAACTTCATTATTTTAGATATTCGCGAGCGAAGCCGCTAGTAATAAATAATGTTTAAATATTGGAGGATTCCATTTAAGGACTAATTTTGAGGATGTTTTTATAGCCTCGGTAGCGCAGTAGGCAGCGCGTAAGTCTCATAATCTTAAGGTCGTGAGTTCGATCCTCACCCGGGGCATTTTTTTCCAACAAATTAAAATTAATTTCTATTTTAGTTTTATTTCTGTATATGTTATTGATAATTGTTTCTTTAAGTAGCACACCAGGTGTTATTTAAATTTACTTGTTAAATATTTAAAGTATGGACTCGTTTTTAAAATAAGGATTTTAGCTGAGTATGGTCACAGACGAGGTGGCCGAGTGGTTAAGGCGTTGGACTGCTAATCCAATGGGCTCTGCCCGCGTGGGTTCGAATCCCATCCTCGTCGGTCGTCCTTTTTGAATATATTCCTACCAATAGCACATGTTTATTTGCATTTTATCGCGTAATTCAAAATTAGCAATAAACAAATTATTTATATAGTGTATATATACTCCACACTGATTAATAAATGAAATTTTGACAGCACTGTTTATGTGTCAGGATGGCCGAGCGGTCTAAGGCGCCAGACTCAAGTGCAAACTTTCCTGTAATTCAAATACAGGCTGAGCGTTCTGGTCCTCTCTGAGGGCGTGGGTTCGAATCCCACTTCTGACAGCACTTTTTCAACATTTTCATACATTTACTCACCGACTGTAAGTGAAAATAAATCCGATCTATCAAAGATCAACGCAATGTGCTTCCAATCGAACTGTTTAAAAATACTCCCGAAGACCAGCTTCAGGCGACACTGGCAGTACGACATCCTTGTTAGCGTCGGATAAAATTTACTCTTGTTCTTAAATATACCTTGCGTCTGAAATTGGATTACAAACGCAAATTATTGCCAATTAGCAACCAAATCTCAACACTCACGTCGGTATCGTTGCGATTCCAGCGTTGCAAACGTCCAAGAATACCGGAAGTCACTGTTACTTCATCTTCGGAAGATGGCGGCTTAATAAAATCACATTTTACGCATAACATGATTATAATCACTTGTAATAATCACAAAAATTGTGAAAACGACCGAGAATTGAAAGAAATTTAATGTAAATTACGTGTCAAGGATATTTAGAGGATAAAACATTAGTATTCACCCGACATACATGTTTAATGTACCAAACACGCAGAACAAAAGGGTTTGATGCGTTTTTACGCCGATGCACTCGTAAAACGCAACGATTCACGCCCGAATTGTAAAATTATGATAATACTCACTTGGTCACCCATTCCGGTGATGATCGGAGTGTTCCAGTATGCTGCCAGACTCGCGACTGGTTCCAGGGCGAATGTACAAGCAGGACCGATGAATGCAATCACATTATCTTTAAAATGCATGTCTGCAGCATATCCGGGAGCCAGGTCGCCGCTACACGAAGGATAACTGTAAAAAACATCATGTTTACTTATTTTTAAAGGGTAAAACACTTCGACGAGGATGGGATTCGAACCCACGCGGGCAGAGCCCATTGGATTAGCAGTCCAACGCCTTAACCACTCGGCCACCTCGTCCTGATAAATGCACCCTGGTGAAAAGCAGGATCTGATTGACATGGGTTTAAGTTATGTTGTTGATGACAACTGTAACACCCGGTTTTTTGGGTGGGGGTGTCGGATATATTTAGATCGGTAAATTATAGTGCGATGTTTGAATGTATGCTTGATTCAATGTCAAACTCTGGTTGGATAGAGGTGTGGAAAATGCAGGACAGCAGGACAGGTTCATTAGCAGCGTATTCATTGGTTCCAGTGGTATACAACCGTGAACTTGAATTTTGTTTTTCATCCTCATGATGAGGATATCATCCACACAACACTGTATAATTAATAATTAACCAACGTGTTGATTGCGCATGATAATTAATTTTCTCACCTTGCTTGGACTTTTTGTAGGATAACTCGATGTGGTTTGAGAAATTTATCGTTGATCTCTTCCAGAGCGATGTCCACCGCAGGGCCGCATCGGACTAGGTCGAAAGGTGAGTCCAGATGACCCGCCATCAACACTCCGACGTTATAGTAAGTGTAATCTGAGCCGATTATATGCGCATGCGCGGTAGTCGTGAGTAATGTCAATGTATACAACCAAGTATACATTGTGAGTCTTGTATGCATCTAGAAGTAAAAATTAGGTCGATATCAAAGAAAAATTGAATTAAAGAAGATCAAAGAGACGTAAAAATGATTTTATGAGAAGTTGAATGTGCGAGACGTGCGAGGATGCAATTTTCGCGCATTGTCCTATATTTTATCCGACGACACATTGCGTTATTAAGCTTAGGCGCGCGCTTGGCGACACACTTTGTCCCATCAATCAACGTCATCGTGCAGGATACCCAGATTCGTCTTTATTTTGTTTTTATTTGTTTCGCGCTCGCGTCACCATGCAGATATTACAAAATAAAACATTCAAGTGTTGTAATAAAATAAAATATCTTACCTTGTTAATGATGATCAACTTTATTTGTTGCACAAAAATGTTTTAGTTTTGATTTACATTGTTTTTCGTTACGCGGAAGTTGGTCGTGTTGAACTTGAACTTGCTGCCGACGTGACGGACACCCTGCGTCTGCCAACATGCGCGTCGAGATCGTCGGCGCAACCACCTGCGTCGCGGCGCTCTCCCCGCGGTTTGCATAATCCTGCGCTAATAATGCAAATCTCGCACGCTTCAAGTTAACGTGATCCAAATTTATTCAGATCGGAGTGTTTTCATTAATTAAATAACTATTGCGCAACTCACATAAGTATCAAATTCTTTATTTTAATACTAGAAAAGATAAATTAATTCGCATTGATGATCCATAACATGTTAAGTCCGGATCTTCCGAGATTCACCCTGCCGAGCATTCCATGCTCACGTTTGTTTACATTATACAAAAAGAACAATATAGTATGAAATAGATTGTTGTAACCTTTATCCATTTCAAATGTTTCAGTGCCAATGATAATTCGGTAATGCGGCGGTTTGACGCTGACTTCATGAATTGCCAGTGTGTTGGCAGTCAGTTCCGGTAACTTCTCAGTGGATTTGATGAAATGGAATCCTGTGAATGGCTTCACATCAGGATTATTCGGCAGTGGGACTAGTTGAGTATCAAGGTAAGCTGCAGTTAAATGCATTACAATCTATAAACATTTAAAAATTGTAGTTTTGAAGCGTGTTATTTGATTTTTATGTATTTTTACCGCTGCATCTGTCGGTAAAGTAGGATCCCATTCCTTTTCGTTGTAATATCCGCCACCATTCCATTTGTATTCACTCATACATCCACCTTTTGATAATTCCCGAATTCTCTGCACAAGATATTCCTGATTTGTGTGTAGTTCTAGAAATGGAACGATCGTTGGTAGATTTGGCGTGTTTTGTAAAACTTGTCCTTGTGCTGTTTTACGCAGACGATCCAAACCTACTTTGCCGATTATCACGTCGGTTATGCCTTGTACGTGCAGGCTTTTATCAATTGTGGTGAATTCTGTTATTAACCGACAGAGAATCGTCTTGGAAATCCACTAAAACATTGAAAAAATACGTTTTTTATTAAAAAATCACATTTTTAATGAAATTTAAACTTACAACGCGTAGATTTTCACTCCATTGTGTCAAAGCAACACTATCAACATTTAATCTCTTCCATGTATCAGAACATTGACTTTGATTCAACGGTGATGACTTATCATCGGTTTTGGGGCTGGAATTTGTTGAACTGGGAGTTGAGAGTTGATATTGACAACGTCTTAATAATGGTGAATTGTCTTTAATTTTAGTAGCTGGATGATTCCAGAAGAAACTTAGAGAGTTTGCTGATGGCGGTTCAACGTTGATATTTTGTGTCGTTTCAATAGCTTCATATTCTTTTAAATACTGACTCAATGATTGTTCATCAACTAAAGCCATATTATTTAAATTGGCTGGTAGAATAGGTGATGATTTGAATCCAGGAGAGTTGTTTCCCACAGGGGATTCTGCTTGGAATGACCATGGACTGCTGTTTAGACTGTGATTTGCTGAAGTGCTTAGCCAACTTGTTGCTGACATGTCCATTGGAGTCTTTGAAAGACGCGATGTGTGTGTTATGACATTTTGATATGGAGATCTAATTAAATCTTTAAAAATTTTGTGTTAAAATATGGTTTTTAGGTTAAAAAATTCAACTTACTAGGAGATGAAGTGTTGAATGATGTTTGTAAAGTTGAATTATTAAGATTACTGGTATTTGCTGTGGAGATATTTTTGTTTGGTGGTTTGGTATTGCTAGTGCAATACTTGTACAAATGATAAATTGAATTCAATAGGAAGATTACAGCAAGAACATGCTCAAAGTAGTAGACATATTTAGAATATTTGCCTGTTTTCTCACAATATGAGAGTCTAAAACAGAAAATAATTATGTTAATATCTTAATTTTTACTTTAAAACAAGCTTACATATCATTAACAACCACTCCAAGTAGAATTATGTTGATTGTTCCCCAGATAACGTTATGTTTTGCTCGTTTTATTCGTTGAAACTCTACTACTTCTCTTCTTATAGGCTGTAGGTTTGAATTAACCATTCTAGGCACTCTTGGCGGTGTTCTAAACAATTATTTATTAAATAAAATCAACAAAAAGCTAATATAACTTACATGGTATTATTAAACGACATAATAAAGAATTAGAAACGCTTTTTCGGTGTTAATCAGTGTTAATACTCAATATAATACTTGAAAACTGTTTTCGCGGTTCCAATAGGCATATAACCCTATTTTATGTGCGCATGTACATAAAATGTAGTTATGTACTACAGTGTTTGGAGTGTAAAGTGTGTTGCCTATATTAAAACTGCATATGCAACATAAAAATAAGTAAATACTCAAAAGTAAATAAGAAGTGATTTATTTTTTGCGTATGCGAAAAGTTTGTTCATTAACATAATTATTTTATTGCAATTAATTTAAATTTCTTACTAAAGACGACTTATAACCAAAACTTCAACCAGTTTTGTATTGTAGGTATAAATTCATTTATCAATGACTAGTACAAATGAAATTACTGTCTTTTCTTAGCTTTGGCATTCTTTTTCTGGGTACCAGCTTGCTGAGTCCCCTGTGGTCCTCCACCAGCCAGGAAATTTGTTACCATATCACCCATCTGTGGCATTTCAAACTTAGTCATATTACCAATTTGTTCTAATTCTTTCTTAGTTTCTGGATCATTCATCATCTTGGGTAGGACCATGATCAACAGAAGAGGTAGCACCATCATAAGAATCATCGGATTGAATAGGAAATCAGTAATCATCCACTGTTCTCTAAGCTGGAAGTACTTTGTCATGCCAAGTGGCTTCATTCTTAAAGGATATGGTACTTGGATAACCAGCGCAGTTTGAATATGGTTCACTCTTCTGGCTCTAAACTTGCCTTTGCTGTTGATTTCAACTCGAACTGGCTCATAGGTGAGGTGTGGGCTGAGTGCTTCAATGATGTATGAACCTGTTGGGATGTTGTGGATGAGAAATGAGCCATCTTCCTTGACAAAACCAAGGTATTCTCCACCATTGACGTGAATACGTGTATTAGCTGCCCAGTTAGGTGAAGCAAACATTGCATCCATGATGATACGACCTTCTATGGTGTGTTTTGTGTTTGGATTGGAGTCTTCTTCGAGAGTCATTGGCTCACAAAGCACAGAGGTTATGCATATAAGCAAGAAAAATGCTTTGAATCGTAGCATTTTTATGATTTTAGCTGCCTAGAAGTAGAAATTGCTGTTTATCAATTGATATTAATTAAGATTTTTAATTGAACTAACTTTATAAACAGCAGGAAATGTGTATAATGACAAGAATTTATGTTTGACAGCTCGACTTTGATGTGGATGTGACTATAACGTAACCATAGAAACTATAACGATAAAAACATACTAAAAACAGTTTATCTTCCTAAAATTTTATTTAAATACATTTAAAATGTTGTATTTAAACATATTAACATTAATTTAATGCGTAAAAGCATGTATTTTATCATATTATCATTTACAGGTGTAAATGCTTACTGCGCATGCGCAGTATGAAGATTCAAAAGGTAGTCCGGCGTTGCGCGTCTTTCCAATCTCCCACTCCGTTCAACAGTCCGCTGCGTTCGTTTGACTGGTGAGGGTGTGCCGTGTGCCAGAGTATCGATACCAACGTGTTCGCAAGAAATTAAATACAATAAAACTCCACACGGGTTGCATCCGTTTAAATACTCTGCGCGCTATGGTGCGATAACGCGTTATCAGCGCAAGTGATAACAGTGCTCCAGTGGCATGATTCGTCGGGATTATTAGCGAAAGAGACGAGACGACACAATCATCGCGCCGCACACACAGTCAAGGTACGTTACGTCTGCAGGTATGCACACAAACACACATACATACAACGGGCGGGCATCGTCTCTGCGCGTTTGCCAGCGTACAACCTGGGCGTCGACCATGCCTGTGCGTGTATGTGTTGTAAATATGGTACCACATAGAAGAGTCAATCTAGCAAACAAAACCTACCTGTTTCTGTTTGTGGTGCGCGTGCTCATACAACCTGTGAGACTTTAATAGCGGAGATATGAACCATCTACGCCCTGTATTCATTTGTTTTATTTTTTGTTTTATGTTTGATTTCACGCAATAGCATAACAAGTGTTTTTAAAACTGCAGGTGACTCATTCTTATATTATACTCGTGTTACTATTGTTTATCATCACCAAAGTCACGGTATAGTTGTCAGCGTCATCGCAATAGGTGTGTCTGCTTGTTTACTTTTTATTTCTTAAGATTTTAAATTGAAAACATTTAATATGTTATTATTTTGACTTAAATTAAGTCAAAAGGGTTCGGAATACCTGGTAGGTTATTTTTTGAAATATTGTCTTAGAAAAGTGATTCACAATTGCATAAACGTGAGTAACTCGTAGATTAGAATAGATTACTCATCATAATGTTGAGTTTTGCTGTGGAAATGGTCAATCATACAAGTCATCGTCATGATGGCGACCTAAAAGAATTCAAATTGAATTAGTAAAGACCAAAGGGTCAGGTCACACACCAAATACACGCTCACGACTGTTTCCAATGTGTTGTGTTTGTATTGTTGGTATATACGTTGTAATTCGTCTAAAATGTCATATTCCTGATGTTTTTATCAATTTTCATTGGAAATGCAGACATACCTTCATTAATATTGTATAGGTCATTACTTAATCAATATTGTGGGGGTGTTAAGTAAACAAGCATGACTTTTTGCGTTGATGCGTTAATTTTTGATAGTTTTGTGTGTTTTTGACTTGTTTTTCAATAGATAGATAATGTAATTTAGTTTGTGTGCTATATGAGCATTGAGCATGTGAACTCACATGAATATTAAGCACTCGTCGAGTTATATTAAGTGGTCGTGGTGGCAGGAACAAAGCAGCTGCTTCCGCTTGTTTAAAAATAAAAAGGCACCAGCAAAATGCAATTAGGGTTAGGTAGAGTGCAGCAGTAATTCTAAGGGTAGGTCTAGTACTCGAGCAAATTTCGAATAACGGTTTTTGCTCAATTTTATACGTACTTAAACTCAAAATAAAGTGTTGCACGTGTGCCGAACAGGGTGGTCGTAAACTGTGCAGATTTGTTTGGATTCGCTGTTAATGCCCATTAATTTATTATTGGCACGCGCAGATTATAAACAGACGTGATGTTATTTATACTCAAACTATATTAGCGTGTTTATTTCGATTTTTTTTTTTTTCTCATTTTCATAAAAAAGTAATAATACGATGAATAAAATCGACTCAGCGGGTAGCAGAAGTTTTCGTAGGGTGTAGTAGCATGGCAAAAAATACCGGAACATCGGAACGCGACAAAAATACGAGAGAATGAAATTGAGCGTGCGTTAAGGGTTTTTGGTGACTGGTAGCATATTACGGCTTCTCGTGCCGCGTGCCATTCGTGCACAGAAAGTGCAAGGGTGGAAAAAAATGCACGCTTGCATGCAAATGCCATTTTTGTGGGTAATTTTAATTTAGTTCCGGTTTCCAGGCCAAATTTTGCGACCAACTTTGATAAAATATTAATTTTATGCATGATATTACACAATTAATCATATAAAATCAATAAAAATGCATTTTTATAAACAGAAATATATTTTTTAAATATTAAGATATTTCTGAAAATGTGGAATTACAAAAAAAAGCTATGTTTAGGTGTTGTGAGTGGCTATAAATAGTGAAATAATAGCATGGATTAATGACCGACAGCGTGATGGGCTTAGTTACTAACCATCACGCACGCGATACATTTTTCTTCTTTGCCATAAGCTTACTACAGCTCGAAAACTAGGTGTGGAAAAGCCTGAAACGCGTAAAGTCTGCTACGGTTTACAATCACACGCGGTAGCAATAGTACTACGCAAGTCGTAGTTTCTTAACTGCTAGAAAAGTCAATAAAGTCGGCTGTCTACGATATAACTACGAGAACATCGAGAAATAGTAAAATAAACATGAGTAAACTAAACCAAAACGCAGTAGAAATGTCGTAAAGTCAAACGTTGCATAGATTATTTCTAGTAATTGCTTACTTACTTTCATATTCCACTGATAGCAATATATTATTTAATTATGCTGCACTGATTTATGTCTGCTAAGTGGAATAATCACATCATTGATGTTTTACTCACATAATATGAATGAAGGAAACTTTTGCGGTCGCGTAAAGTAGGACAATTTACAGAAATAAAAAATTAAAATCGGCGCCGACCACCAAGAGATAAATTAAAGATTTTGATGATCACTTCTGTTATGATTAATGACTTAATTTATTTGGCAGATGACTGACGTGAGTAATAAGTTTTCTTGGAATGTAATCAGTTCCTATTCGCATTTCATTGTCACTTCCGAGTGGAAATTTAATAAAAGCACTTCAGATGTTTGAAATGTATAAGATTTATCACACCCCTACTTGAATTAGATTAGATTTTATTTTCTTGACAATTTGGGGGAGAAAATGTGAATAAATGACAATTGTGGAGGGGGTATTTTATATTTTTAGTTGTTAATATTTTGTAATTTGCATAAAATCAACATTATTTAATCCAGGAGTGAAATTACATGTTGATTTTGTTTATCAGCAGCCATGCACACACTGCGTCTGCCCTTCAGTACAAACATCGCAACATACTCGTAGATAAACACCCCCGAACGTGCCTCACATCGAATGATTTGGGAATTGCAAATCCAAGGGGTGCTGCCCTTGCCCCTTGCGGGGTGCGTGGCGTGAAATAAAACGATCCATCGTCCGAATATGTGCGTGGTCACCCTCGTGCAGAATTTTGCATTTTATAGCAACTAAACCGCGTACAAAATGTACTAAACGCGCAAAACGACTAGCTCCAGTCAGGAGATATGCATGCATAGTATTAGCTGCATGGTTTATGCACTGAGGGGTGTAAATTATACGATACCATACCTGGGCATAAAGAAATCTACTAACTTTAATTAATATTTGCATTTGCAGCGTATGCAAAATGTGCTCGATTAGACAAAGCACTTCTATCGCGTTTATTGTGTGAGTAACTTTTAGGGGGCGTCTGCTGTCGGTGTTTTATTACACTTTTAATTAATTAATTGCCAGTAAATGCGTCGCTGTCATTAATCGAGTATGGTTTTCTTTATTAACTAGACTGGTTTTACTTTTATTTCATTTTTATTCTCAGTTATTACAAAAATTATGAATTTCCTAGAATATTTATGTCTGAAAGGAAGTAATAAGTACGTATGGCACGTGTCGACGTGGAATTATATTTGGTTCACACGTCGCCTGTGTTATATCACGACCACCCTCATAATTTCGTCAGTTTTTAATATTTTCCTGCATTTTGCTTTATTTTTGGTACTTTGGTGTCATTTTAATGTCACTCGTCTAACACTCATGAAACGTGGCACGTGCTAAACTCAACTGAACAAAAAAATTGTGTACAGCTGTCTGTTTCACCCCCGTCTTCTCGCTTTCTGATCTCTGAACTCGGAAATAAGGGATTTTGTGGGCCTTCTGGTTTGTTGTGTGATGTTTCTAGTTACCTACCCTCTAATAATACACAAACATGGCGAATTTTTGCATTTTGCGCTCTTTTTCGGCCAGAAATGATATATTTTTAGGGTGTAAGTGAACACCAAGTAAACATCTGTTAGATTTTCATGTTTTGAAATAACGTGAAATTTGTTACGCAATGTAACTTGAAGAGGAATTGAAAAATAACGTGTGTGGACACAGTGAAAAACGACCGAATTCAATGAAGTAGAACTAACGAGCAAATAGTGCTTTTTTTTTAATAGTTTTAAGTAAATATTTGCTTGTTTTCCTTGGTAAATAAAAAAGGGGACTACTGGTTGGTGGGTCCTTTAATTGTCCGAGTTACGTCAGAGTTCATTTGCTTAAATATTAATAGATTTTTCGTTTTTGTTTCAGGTGAGTTATTCTTGGCGCTTGCACAACTCTTCTAATGAGTATTAGATCATCCTTTGGTCTGCTACGGTATGTAAAACTATTTTGATATTTTGAAACAGTCTTGCGGTTTGGTCTGGAAGTTTTACCACAAAAAGTAAATATTTGCAGAGTAAATTTATGTATTTGTAAGCTACATTAAAGAGAGCGGAGAGAAGAACTTGGAGACCTGCGACTGAACTACTGGACGACTCAGGCACGACTGAGCACGAGGGGCAGTGAGCGCTCTCCTTTTATACCTGCGGCCGACCCGTTGAAAGAGGTGGGGGTAGGCGCGCCGCCAATCCAAAGAGGACAATTTGTGACTCAATCTCCCCCCTCCCTCACCACTGGTACTCGCCCTGCACATTCCTACAAGTTCCCTTACAGGCGCACCTTCCCCCACCACTTATAGCGGGTCAACCGCAGGTATGAAAGCTGTGTGCTGCAGTGAAGAAAGGGCTCAGTCGTGCCTGAGCTGTCCAGAAGTACAGTCGCATTTAGCCCAGAGGTCTAAGTTCTTTTTTCACTACTTTTTTTTCTGGTTGGTATATAGTAGTCAAAAAATTGCCGATCATGAGTTCTGCGTGAATTCTCTACATGATATCATAATAAACCATCAACATTCACTGGTCAATAACATATATTTACTTATGTACTCAACGGCACATGCGACTAAACTAAGCACACAAAGTAATGCAACCCTTGAGAACCACTCCTACTCTTGAACTGAAGGGGAATGCGCCCCGCTTCGATCGTCGACCCTTTATGACCACTGCAGAGCTATCAATTCGCATTTTTCCTATTTACTTACCCGGAGTCGAGTTTCTATCGCAATAAGCAATCTACTCGTAGTTGGAAGCAATCATTAAGGCTCGGTTAC